AAAACATAAAAGTGCTCCAATTTATTTTTTAGGCAAAACCTCTAAATTCACTCTTGTATTTGCATTAATTATTCATTTTAATCCATACATTCTTAATTTGGTTAATTAACTTCTATGTTCTTTGAATTCAATCAATTAATTCTCGTGTTTTTTTAATGTGTTGAATTGACCCAATAATTAATTTTACTAAGTCTCTATATTGAATATGCATGGTAATTATATGACAACTAAATATTTCTCATTATAAGATGACCTTTTAGTATGTTGTAAATAAACATGTTTCCTAATTACCAAAGTTTAGAATTTTTTTAACAATATATGAGTGTTCATCTGAATTTTTTTTGTTTAATGCTACACAATCAATTTTTTTTTAGTAAAGTTAACTAATATTTTCTTATCGTTTATTTAGAGTCCACATTCACATCTTAAATATTCAAATAATCTTTATTTTGATTAATTTTAATGCCCTAGAATACTATATGATTGTAAATCTCAATGATAATGGAACCGAATTAAACTCAACATTAAAACAAAATAAATTTAGATAGTTTAAATTCCATAACTTTGTTCTAACATGACAATCACGTCGAATTTTAATCTAATTTGATATTAAATTGATACGATTTCTAATTTTAGGAACCGATATCAATTTAACAAGATTTCACTTTAAAATTTAATCCATTAATTATGTTTAAAATTGTTAATTATTTTCTTAAATGACAATCATGACATGACTATATTAGAATCCAATGTTAAATTAACGTAACTCCCTATCTTAGGATCTAACGATAATTTAATATGATTTCACAATAAGTCACAACCAATTTGGTAAATTATAAAATGATTCTTTAGATCAAATTGATAAAATTACTTGAAGTAAACAATAGACTTGAAAATAAGTTTGTAAATATTATGGGAAAATAATACTTTATAAAATGATTTAGAAATACAACAAGTTAGGTAACCTTTTTTAGGAAATGATGTTTTGGGTGATTGTTATCTTTCTAATAAATATAATCAACTCATTATCAATAATCTCCGAAAGATCAATAATTTAGGTTTTCCGATCTCATTAAAATATAGTGCGACGACTCTAAAGGATCATGCATCCTATAGAGGTGAGGAATAAATAAAAAATTTCCTCCATCAAAGTGGTCCAAGATCAAGTCGTTAAATCTATTAACTATACATGCATGAATTTAAAGCAATAAATAAAGAATTACCTTTTATAATGCTGATCCAAATTCTTTTATTAGAAAATCTATCCAATTGTCCTAGCTTCTATTGATGATCCATGCAATCCAAGTATCCACAAAAGAAGTACTCAAAATCGATAAGGTGCTAGCTTTATCCTTTTCCGATTTATGTAGTGTTTCCTATAAAATCAATCCTAGATAATTTTGTGATAGCCTTAAAAGATAAGGAAAGAGTATATTTGTGTTAGGGTTTTTGGATAAAACTATTTTTCATTTTTTTTCCTTTAATTTTCGGTGTGCTCTAATTAGTTTTTAAGGTCGGCCAAATTTTTTTCTTTTTCTCTCTATTTTTTTCTTAGTTATCACACCTCTCTCCCCCTTTATATTTATAGGAGAGTTTTCTTAGCCTCTAAGGATAAGTAGAAGGGTGGCATTAATTTCCCATTAGGATTCTAGGTTGTTGCTTCTCTATCCTCTAATGATGAGGAGTTATTTTTACATGTGGACTTTTGATCATTATTTTCAAAACATTTATCCTTATCCAATAAGGTTGATGTTTATCTTTCGACCAAAATATCTTAAGCCTTTTAATTAAACCTAATTGGCTAAAACTAGTTTAGCCCAATTAATTTATTTGGACTATCCAAATAAATAATTTTAGATTATTTTATGCAAGTCCACATTAGGAAATAATTTTTCAAAATATCCTTTATCCTAAATTAGGAAACTCATTTTCATTTTAGGTTATTTACTTCCAAATTTGGAACTAACTTCCAAATTAGAAAACCGATTTCTAAAATAGGAAACTTTTCATTTTGGAAACCCTTTCCAAAACGAAAACTTTCATAATTGAAAACTTTTTCCAATAATTTTTGCTTCTTATTTATAATGTGAATACTTAAACTTATGCATGTGACGCAATAGGTTCCTAGATATGTTAGCAATGCATCAAGAATAAATGACTCCTCTTTTATCTCTTGATACATAAATCAAGATTGGCCTCTAGCAAGACATCATGACTATCTAATTTTCTAGGAGGATTAATTAATCTATTATTACCTTTTATGAGCATGGTCACTATACAATTTAGTCCTCATGTCAATTTATCACGATGTGATCTCAAACTTGGTTATAAGTCTTATTCAATTATGATCACACAAGTTTTTGATTCTTAAATGTCTTAGCTCTTAGAGTAAACTAACTATGCTCTATTGGTGTACTCTTGCGGTGGCCACAGCATTTCTCTAGCGGATATTTATCGAAGTGCAATGTGATGACTCCTTTAGCATACAAGAAATGATATGTCTTATCTTAGTCATACACCTATCTCCATTAGATTTCTAGTGTACCCAATGAATCGTCCACATGCAAGCATTTAATAAGTCCCATCGAAACGAGTATCAAAGTGCATAAGTCCTCTAACGAGACAATTGTGATGGCTTCAAGTCTAAGAACCATTTGTACCTATCTCGTATAAGATTCCCATAGACTAAAATCAAATGGGTTCTCATGGCGAATCAAGTCCAGCGATATATTCTCTAACATAAATCACCTAAGTGCTTGCTTTGGTATCACCATGTCAATAGGTGTGAGGTCTCCTATCGCTATCATATAGCATGAGCATAACACTCACAAATCTATCCGCATATAGTTATTGTTCATTCTTGACAATACTACGACTTGAGACGTTTAATGATATTATTTATATGCATTAGTGTTTGTCTCACATCTTTTGATCAATCACTATTGCAAATGCTTATTATAAGGACTTCTATTTAATTCTACCGAATTTATAAACATAAAACACAAGAATTAATAGAATGACTTCTTTATTATTATTAAAATAAATAATACAATAATACATTAACTCAAGCTTATCCAAACATGGTTGGATCTTAGGCACCTATACTAACGTACTCCTCATTTTTTAACTTTTTTTCAATCAAAAGGTCTCATATGTTCGGTAGCTACAATTTACATAACGAGTAATTACTTTACTTTGATAAATAAATAAATATAAAACTAATTTATTATGGAAAAAAATTTATTGAAGTACTTAGTTTTTTAATAACATGCAAATTATTCATCCAACTCAACAATAAATTAATGTCGGGATTTTTGGAAAGTTGAGACTTATTATAAAAAATTTTAGAAATAATAACATATTTATAAGGAAAAAAAATATCAATCTAAACAAGTATTCAACTTCCTCAAGGGTAAATCTTACTTCTCAAATAATATTTCTTATCAAAGCAAGTTAATAAGAACCTATCATTCGAATAGAATAATTGATTTTATATACATGTGTTCTCGTTGTAAATAGACTCGATATGAACACTCGAACCCCTTACTAAAAAATAACTAGAGTTTGAAATTTGAAAACAAAAAATTAATATTTATATTTTCATTTAGATTGAAAGAAGATGAGATGTCTATAAACAAAAAGCAAATGAAAGTTAAAAAAAAAAAAATTAGTATTTTATGTATATTCTTAACATTCCAAATCTAGATACATAAAAGATTGGTTCTAGTGAAATAAGTTCTAATCACTTAAAAAAATAATTTTGAATTCAAATCTTTATATATATATATATATATATATATATATATATATATATATATATATATATTTAAATAGTTATTTTCGTGTTGTGGATTACGGAAAAGCGAAAGAATGATCTAAATTTTAAATTTAAAATATTAAAAGAAAAACATTCCAAATCCACATTACTTTATTTTATTTTTATTTTTTTATTTATTTTGTTACTATAAAAATGCAGTGGTGATGGCAATGTATGGAGTGATTGGTTAAATTAATTTCTATTTTTTTAATACCAACAAAGGAAAAAAAACTCCAACCATGACAAGGAAAGGAGAAACAAGAGTTGGAACTTGGAAGACTCGAAAATCTCAAATAGACTAAGCTTAATCTCTCTCTTAAATCTCGACAATCCAGAACGTACTTCATTCAAAGAAAACATTTTTTGAAAAAAATAAAAATTGAACTTTGTTTTTCTCACTTTACTGTCTGTGTAGAGTTGTTTTCTTGGAAGATGGACTTTTGTCTGTGCGCAAAAGAAAACCCACCCATGCACACAACCCCCCTCTTCTTCTCTCTCATTTGCGTCATCATCAAACCCTTCATTGTCCCATTCCTTCTCTCTCTCTCTTTCAAGTTTTTCCCTTTCATTCTCTCCTCTCTTTTAACATACATTACTATGCTTTGGTTCTTTCTTCTTCTTGAGCAGCGATCTTGTGCCCCAAAACAGCTACATTTCTCCTTCTTTTGAACCCCCCGCCGTCACCGTGTGATCATTGATAGGCTAAAAAATGTTTTCAACCTTTCCTTCATGCTTTAGCATTTCTTTTGTTTCTTCTTCTAGCTAAAGATTCGTTTCTTCTTTGGAGGTTTATTCTAATTCTCTTGTAAAACGTTTTCTTTGGTATAAACCCAGATTAGAATCATTCATCATCATTTTGAGAACCTAATTTCCTCTTTAAAAACCGAGAGGTTTTTGGAGACATTTCGTTTGCTTTTGCTTTTGCCTTTGCCTTTGCCTTTGCCTTTTAGGGTTTGTTTCTTAATTTCCCTCGTCAAGAACATGGCTTTCCCACAAAATTTCTTGTTTCATTGCCTCATTGTTAAATTCATAAGATACCCACTTCACTATTTCCACCAAAAATTGCAGGGATGCAATTTGTAGGCCCCTTCACAACATTTTTTTTCTCTTTGGAATTTTTGCAAATACTGAGCTTACGGTTCATAATTTGCTCTTTTTAGCTCCTTGTTTGCTCGTATGAAATATGGGTTGTGTTCATGGCAAGTGTTGTAGCAGGTACCCATCATCAACCGATAGTAATTTAGGGGACTACGGTGGAATGGGTTCGTGTAGGAATGCCACCAGCAAGCATATACTTTCACAAAGATCACTAGAGATTGTTCCTGTCCCTTCACATAACTATGAATTGCAGTACTCTGTCTTAACACAGAGAGGTTACTATCCTGACTCGCCAGATAAGGAAAACCAGGATAGTTTCTGCATTAGAACACAAATTCAAGGTAACCCAAATGTACATTTCTTTGGTGTGTTTGATGGGCATGGTCATTTTGGCACGGAGTGTTCCAGGTTTGTTAAGGATAGATTAGTTGAAATATTAGCCAATGATCCCACGTTGTTGGATGACCCTATTAAAGCTTATAATTCAGCATTCTTAACGACAAACCATGAATTACATAGTAGTGAGATTGATGATTCACTGAGTGGTACAACAGCAATAACTGTTCTTGTTATTGGAGATACAATTTATGTTGCTAATGTGGGTGATTCGAGAGCAGTGATTGCTGTTAAGAATGGGAACAGGACTGTAGCAGAGGATTTGTCTAGTGATCAAACGCCTTTTAGGAAAGATGAGTATGAAAGAGTTAAGCTTTGTGGGGCTAGGGTTCTGAGTGTTGATCAAGTGGATGGGCTTAAGGATCCGGATATACAGGCGTGGGGTGATGAGGAAAGTCAAGGGGGTGATCCTCCAAGATTGTGGATGCAAAATGGGATGTATCCAGGAACAGCATTTACGAGGAGCGTAGGGGATGGTACAGCTGAGAAAATCGGTGTTATTTCTGTTCCAGAGGTGTCTCTGGTTCGCCTAACTCCTAATCATTTGTTTTTTGTTGTTGCAAGTGATGGAGTTTTCGAGTTCCTCTCAAGCCAAACTGTTGTGGACATGGTATGTCATTATGACCCTTTTGCATTTCTATATTCCATATGATTTAGCGGTGGCTTTTCCATCGCCTTTATATAGTTAGGCCTCTGATTGCTTCTGCTTTTGGCTGTCTGGTAATAAGGGATGGGTTTTTGTTTATGTCATGACAGTTTATAATGGCATTGAAATGAAGGAGTGGAATTTACATGGAGTTGTACATATATTTATGTCAGTATGAACTATCGAGTTTGATTTGCATCCAGACTGTCCGATTTCAATTAGGAAAGAGGGCCTGCTTTTCAAAGAAATTAATCAAAATAGACTAATAGAAATTGTCTTTCTTGATTTGCGTCAAATTTCATTGAAATACATAATTATGAAAATAGTTTTTTGTCATAATTCTTTTTCTCAGAGCTGTTGGTAGACATGTATTTGCCGTTGCCTTTGCGCCCTGCAGTGCCAACTAAGGGTCTATTGGCCTTGTTTGGCGAACCAGACCATCATGTGTTGCTATAGATGAATTACTAGTAACATTTCTAAGTTGCTTATGGGCAAAATTAATGTACTAAAATTTTCTTTTCCACTAGAAATCGTAAAGCAATTATATTAAGCCATAGTCAGACACTTGGTCAGAGCTAACATTTACTGTATTTATTTAATAACTTCTTGAAATGATAAAGATGTCTGAGGGTGTTAATGTTCTACTAAAACTCGTAATCTTCGTAAAAAGCTGTAGTAATCATATTTTTTCTTCATTGAATTGGCCTAGTAGAAATGATTTCTGGATAAGGTAAAGCCTGGCTGTTGCTGAAGTTAGCGAACTTTTAAAACAAGCAACCAAGATTTTATCATTCGTCTTTTTTCTATTGCAAGGAACAGTTATTAATGACGTTCTTTGTTGTCAAAGCAAAAAAATTGCCAGAGGCCACTGGGAGTAGTATATGTCCCTATGATGATTCACTATAATCTTTTGGAATCAATTTGATGTCTGCTGAAATCATGTAAAGAATCAATTCATCCAAGGAACAATGAAAGGGAAAAAAAAAAAAAAGGGATTCCGTTGGAGTTTTGAATTGATCATCGCTTTCTTCCACGATAAAATTTTAGTAAAGTTGTTTGTGGATATTTTAATCTCTGTTTCTCCTTACTCTCATTCCTGCTGTTCCTGTCCTTAGAAATTTTACAGTGTCTTTCTACTGACAGGCAGCAAGATATACAGATCCCCGAGATGCTTGTGCCGCCATTGCTGGGGAGTCGTACAAAATATGGCTGGAACATGAAAACAGGACAGATGATATTACGATCATTATTGTTCACATCAAGGGATTGTCTAATGTAAGTTTGATTAGGGAAAAAAAAATCATTCTCTGGCTTTGCCGGTTTCTTTGTATCTATCTTTTTCCAACGCTATAGGTCGAATCTCATGTTTTCGTTTTATATTAATATCTATCAGTGGTGTTAAGTATGTTGTACTTCATGTGTTTATTTTGCCAACATTCAGTTTCGAAGAATAAGCTTGGTACCACCTGAAAAATGCAACTGCTTGGGTTTGGGGTGTGCTGTTGATGTGTTTTGGTTAAGATTAATAAATGGTGCTTGTCTTTTGTAACTTTAAGCACATAAGTCTTGGGATCTAGTTTTAGTATGTCGTACTCGAGAGGATTGTCTTTATTTTGGCAACATTCAGTTTCGAAGAATAAGCTTTGTACCACCTGAAAAATGCAACTGCTGATGTTTGGGGTGTGCTGTTGGTGTGTTTTGGTTAAGATTAATAAGTGGTGCTTGTCTTTTGGTAAGTTTTAAACACATAAGTCATGGGATCTTAGTAATAATAGGTGGGCATCCTACTCATAGAATCTTAAAGTAGTAGTTGTGGAATTACTTTTCTGAGGCACCAATTGTTGGCTGATGATTTCCTAATCTCTATTCTTATTACTACAGTCAGGTGCTGGTAGTACAGATGGAACCACTAGGGCAAATAGGAATCTCACAAGTTCAAGGACAGGAAGAGGATCTTCTGACAGCTCCACAACCTCTGGATCAGAAATTTACCGTTCAATAAGAAGCGAATTCACAGATCTGCAACTTTCCATGAATCGAAGCCCAGCTATTGTTGTTCCATCTCCATCGATCCAGAAGCCCTTGGAACTGGTGGGTTTCCTGTCTGTCTTGTGCAATTGAGCTACATCTATATTATTGACTGGGTGATCTTCCCCCTTTGTTTACTAAAATACTCCAATCAAATTGCCTCTAGCAAGCTGCTATTCATTTTCATTCTTATGTGGTTTTACTTGTTTGATACATTTGATGCATGCCTATCTCCACATTTGCCTCAAATTTGGCTTCAAGGAATCTATTCCTTTTAAGCCTCAATCATCTTTCTTTTGGCTTGTATCAGGATGGGGGTTAGTGGCACCGTCTGCCAAAATTGAAGGCAATTTGTGCTGCATGCTCAAGGATCTCCAGGCTGCAAGCTCTTGCTAATGTTACTGAAACTCTGTTACTAACTACACGATTGAGAGAAAATAATGCTCCTCCTTTTGTTGTAATTTTGCCCATGCTAAACCCAACTTAAAAGGGAGTTGGAAATCAAACTTTGGAGAGATTCTGGGACGTTCAGAACTGATCGTCATGAATTCCATGAAGATTTTTTTCTTTATCGGGAAAGATAAGTTTCATCAGGTTTCTGGCAGGGAAGCTCAACGCCTCAACCTTATGCAACTTTGATTTCTGGACGTCAGTTGTAATCTTGCATCTTTCTGATATCTCTGTGAACAGTAGGTTTGTAAAGATATAAAGTAATTGTATAATGCATTTCCTACAGATTCATTGAAATCTTTTATCAAAGTCTGCTATGTTCTATTATTTCAATGTTTTGATGTTGTAACTGGATGTCGAAGTTCCTGCAATGATATTAGGTTAGCTGTCTGATCCAATAATGTTCAAGTATGGGGTTGTTTTGGTAGGATGTGACTTTTCTCGTGCCTGTCTTCTTGTTTCTTAAGGGACAAAGGTTGGAAGTCCCAAGCTATTCACATGCCATTTACCTTTTTGGAGAAAGATGGATTGATGAAGTTGGCATGCCATTTCGAGAGCTTGAGTTAGTTCTCCTCAATTGTGCAGGCCCACTTTATAGTTTGAGCTCACAAATCACAATATGGCAGGGAAAAAAGAGGGAGAAAAAGAACTTTTTCCATTTGATGGTCCCAGACAATCCAGGAACAACAGCACCAGTGAGTGCACAACGTTTTCAGATTTGAAACCCTCATGGCTGAAGAAAGAATTAGCCAAAAAGAAACAAAGTCAAAATACAAAATGGGAAAACATCTTAAGTGACTGGAAGAACCTCAATGAAAAAATAGTCATTTGTCAGGATAGAAAATAAAAGGTAGTTAAAACATGTTAGTCTGACTTCTATTTAGAACAAGTTCAAATATTGTGAATCACTTCCTTTTTCCTCTTAAAGGGGAAAACATTGCACATACTGATCTCGAGCAAATTAAACAGAGTAACTCTTAACTATTATTTTCTTGTTCAAAAATACATACGCAAGACCCTCCCCTCCTTTTAAAAATCAAGGACATGTACAGAGAAACAAAATTCGTTGCTTAATATCAGAAATAAATGTAAAGCCTCTCACCTATCGAGTTTTGCATTATGTTACACTGCTCCAACAACTTGCTTAATTTGTCAGCTTCTTTGGTTACCTTGCCGGCAGACGCAATCTCAGTTCTACCAGTAGTGTTTAATTGATTAGCCATATTACCAATGCTCTCTGTCTCAAACAAATTGCCATTTTGTGCAGAGGTTCTTTGGTTATTTACCAAGTCATTCAAGTTAGTGTCCTTGTAAACATCATCATCTGAAATTGTCCTTGGTAGAGGCTGAAAAGCTTCTGCATGTGCTTGATTCCTTCCTGACAGAAAGGAGCTGCAGCCAGCATCAATTACTTCATCTAGTGTAGGTTGACTTAGATAAGGTGAAGATCCACCTCCTTCAAGCAGCAACTCATCGGGAATTCTTGAAGCTGGATCAACATCATGACACCTTAAAACAAAGGCTGATGAGAAAGCTCCACTGGTTAAACTTGTTAATCGCCAGTTAAAAATCCGTCTAAAAATCATAATCCACTTGGGAACTATATGGTAGCTTGACTCATGGAGTTCAAGTCGAGCACTTCTTTGTAGCATTACATATGCCTCTTTTGCAGCTAAAAGAGTACCCATCATCCCACTTGATTCAGTTAGGTATATGGCCAAGCAATTCTCAAGTTGTGATCTCAGGTTTTCAATCGCATCAACTGTATTTGCACCTTTATCCAACCAGGGCATGGTATCGGGAAAACCAGGAAGTTTACATTCCCTTATTGCACATAAAAAGGGTTCAATTCTTTCTGCCAAACTCCAACCTGTGCTCGGCAAGTACCAGTTCATCACCATTAACTCATTGCAGCAACTCTCCAGCAAGGCAATCTCAGGACAAGGCCAATTGGTGGGATTTGATTTGGCAGCAGCAGCAATTTCCGCCAGAGACCAATCCAAGGCTTCATTGAAGGCTGAGATACAATGGTTTGGACTTACCTCATAATCCCCCATGTTTTCAAGGACATCCAATGAAGGATTTAAGTGGGTTAGAACCAAGTCCCGTGTTTTGATGCAGTGAACATCGGGTTGTAGTGGTGATTCACTCGCCAACCACCGTAGTCCTTCCCTTAATCGCAAATCACTGAAAAATCCATCCCACATTTCCACTTGTTTGTCTTCAATAAGGAAAACAATTGAAAAACTACTTATCTGTGATTTGTCAATGTCCTGAAGGCCCAGTTCATTGACTATAATGGAGGAAAGATCCAAATCCTCTTTACAATTTGAACCACTTAAGACTAGAAGGGGCAACTTGGAACCAAAAGGGATGCATGTCAGAAGGTTATAAAGCTGGATTTTTTGAAGATTCCATGGGATGCTTTCAGATACAAGGAACAGAACCGCACTTGCGCCTTCTACTTTCTCATTCAATTTGTCCAATTTAAAATCCTTGACAACTGACAAGCAGCAGTTCAGGTGATTACCAGATTGACTGGGAAGCCATTTTCTCCATATTGCCAGGCCAGGAGATGAAATAAGCAGATCACTATCATCATTATCTTTTGTAGAAGGTATGAGCTTTGAAAACACCCATGAGCCTGCTGCCCCCTGCATAACCTGGCTTCTCTGCCCAAGTCTGTCTCCTTGGTCGTTTCTCTGAGAACATAAAATAATTTTCCAGCAGAGACATTTGGCGTCTGGGTTTCTTCTGCTAAGAACATCTGCAATCTCATCTGAAACATTCAGCCTTGACCACGATCGTTCATGTTTTTCATACCTCTTCTTCATGACATGATTGATGTCAAACATGGTAGCAGTGATAGATTGCTATATTGGAAGAAAAAGAGAGAGTCAAAAATAGAAATTGCTCAAAAGAGATCTGCTTGCAGGGAAAATAAACCATTAAACAGGATAATAGCCAGGTTAAAATTTCTGACTATATTGTCGAATAAATCAACATAAACAATTTCACTTGGAGCTAAATAAGAAGGAAGCAGTATACAAAAATGAAATCTATGAAATGAAAAGCTCACATCTCTGGCCTGTCGAATTGGCGGTCCCAATGACAATGAACTTAGTGCAGCATTTGCTGCCATCTGCCTTCGCTCGCGCAACTCCCTTTGTTTTAAAGATCGCCGTCTCCATAACCTGATTGGAGAGAAATGCAACAACAGTAAAAATATATTAGACAAACCCCAAACTTGCAGCTAAACAGCCGAACATGTGACCAAACCTGATGATCAACTTGACTTTTGCCTGAGCAACTTCTTCTTCATTACTTTCCATAACCTCGTCATTTTCACTTGCTTGATCTCTATCAGAAGGTTCTTCTTCTCTTGAGTCATTAATGGCCACAATCTGGGGAGTTGAGTTCTCCCTGGCATAACCATATTTATCACTAGGGGATCTCTCCAGCAAACCTGTTCTTGACGCAATTGGCAACAGCAGTTCTTCCATGCTAGAAGGCATCTTCCTCTTAGGAGAGACTCTGAAAAGAGTACTGTGGTTTGGCTTCTCCACAACTCCAAGCTTAGCTGGCTGAGCTTCAGGGGATCTTTGAGCCCAGGAGACGCCCCATGGCAAGATATAGGCACCAGCCACCTGATGATCATCTTGACTCTGTTGGTTAACGATAGGCTCTTCAATCATTGGCTCCACCTGTGCTCCAATATTTGGGGATGCAACAACTTCAAAGTCAGGAATTTCTTCATCAATTTCACTGGCAAAAGTCTGTGCATCCACAAAAGCAGAACGAACAGCCTTCGTGTCATGCTTGTAGATCATAAGAGACCGTTTCTCTTTCACTGCTTCAGTAGGCAAAGGTACCCCCTGAGAAGGTGGTGAAACATCATCAACAATCCTTTCTGATTTTTTCAGATGAACAAGGTTTGAGCACTTGGTAGGGTAATCCTTGTCAGCATTGAGAAACAGGCCGTCCTTCACCATATATGGTTCTTCAAATTCCCTTATGGCAAAGCCATGATACTTCAATAGTTTTTCTACTTCTTCCTGATTCCAATCATCCAAGTACAAATATAAGACAGATAGGATCTTCCAGTGCAAAAAATAAACAAAAGAAACTCTTATCAAGTGAAGGAATAAAGATACCTCCATTGCAAGCCACTTGGCAATAAGGCCAACAGGGAGACCTTGGTTATTTTGTAGACCAGAATGCAAAGAAGCGAGTGCCTGAGTTCGTAACTGCCCACAAAAAACATAAAACATGAGACAATATTATTAAACACACATCTGCGTGTATGTGCAAGCATGCTCATGCAAATGAATCTGAAATTCACGCCGTACAAGAGGTGAATGCTTTCATTAACACCCAAAGGACATTTAAAATGGTCCTATGCAACTAGTATCCTCTTAATCCATCATCTCATGACAGTTATAGGTAATGAATCGATTATAGCAGTCAGACTTAGTAAACTGCTATCTCAACACATTTTAACTCTGTTTTTTTTTTCCCCCTTCTTCTTTCTTTTTTCTCTTTTGCAAAAGGAAAACAAATAATGAGTACAGATAAGTGACATTTGGCAATAAAGAAAATTTGCACATTGAACACAATTATCATAATTAGCAACATTTTATTTGAAAAGAAAAGATGTTAACAAATGACCACATATTTAAGCACATTGACAAAGCCAGCGCTTAGATTCAAATATAAGAGTAGTGTTGGGATTCTTTGCTATTAATCAGCTAGGAATTAGGTTGTAAATTAATGTAATTAGCTGTCTATTTGTTTCCTATTTAGAATAGGTTAGGCAAGATTTCCTCCTTGAAGTAGGAAACAAGTCCTAATATTTAGGACTCTTTGTGTATATATACTTGTTCTAGTATAATAAAAATTTAGGTCATTCAAACCTAATTATTCACATGGTATCAGAGCAACCCTAGACATCTCCTGTTCTTCCCACAGCCGTCCTAAGTCAGTTCTTCACCAAATTTTTTTTCCCAGCAGCCCTCTACTCTGCTTATTCCAGCAGTATTCATCAATCTCTACACTGCTTATTCCAGCAGTATTCATCAACCAAATCCATCCTTCATCTCATTCCCAATCCATCCTTTATCTTATTCTAGCAGTAACATCCAAGACCAAACATGACAAGCATCAACGAATCCTCTATTGAAACCCCAAAATCCTCCAATACTGAAACTGTTGTGTTCAACAACCATGGGGGAGACATGACAAACTGCTCATCCGCACCCATAACCATCTACAAACTCAATGGCAGAAACTATATCCAATGGTCTCAATCCTTTATGTTTCATGTCCGCAGCAAGGAAAAAGAAGATTATCTAATCGGAAATATCACTAAACCAGATGAAAAAGATGCTAAGTACAGGATCTGGAAGAGAGATAACAGCCAGGTTATGTCTTGGTTAGTGAATTCCATGGAGCCACATATAGGAGAAAATTTTCACCTATATGAAACTGCTGCAGAAGTCTGGGAAGCAGCAAAAGATACTTTTTCTCACAAAGACAACACCCCCGAACTAGTGGCAATTGAGAGCGTCTTACACGATCTTCGACAAGGTGACTTATTTGTAACTGAGTATTACAACAAACTCCAACAAAGCTGGCAGCAGCTGGATACTTTTGAGAAATATTCTTGGGACACTACTAATGATCTCAAACAACACAAAAAGATCATAGAGAACAAAAGGGTCTACAAATTTTGCTTGGGATTGAATTCTAGTCTTGATGCTGTAAGAGGAAAGATATTTAGCACAAAACCATTGCCAAGCGTGCGTGAAGCCTTCTCTGAGATCAGAAGGGAAGAAAGTAGACGTCACTTAATGCTGGGGACAGAAAAATCAGGTGTTAATAGTGAGTCATCAGCCTTGGTAGTCCGAAATCAGCAGCAGCCACGTAGAGGGGGAAGGCCATGGTGTGAACATTGTCGCCGCCCTGGTCATATCAAAGAAACCTGCTGGACACTCCATGGAAAACCCGCTGATTGGAAGCCGAAAACAACAATAGAGAATAAAGTTCGAGGCAACATGGCCAGGAATTTAGAGCAAGCTGCAACTCTTAGTAGAGAGGAACTTGATGGACTAAGAAGGTTACTGCAATCACAACAGAATCCACCAATTATTGGGTCGGGTTCTATAGCTCAAAAAGGTAATTTTCTTAAGGCTTTGACTATCAAACAAGAGCTCTATAAGCCTTGGATTGTAGACTCTGGTGCTTCCGATCACATGACAGGAGATAGGCGAGTTTTTCACACATATTCTCCCTGTAATGATGCTCTCACAGTTAGAATTGCAGATGGTTCTTTGGCAATAGTGGAAGGGACTGGCTCGGTTATGGTATCCAGGGACATAACACTCAAATTTGTTCTATATGTTCCTAATCTAGACTGCAACCTACTCTCCATAAATAAAATTACTCAAGATCTTAACTGTCTAGCTAATTTTTCTCCTCATGTTTGTGAATTTCAGGATGTGACTTCGGGGAGGATGATTGGCGGTGCTAGAAGTCATGCTGGGCTCTATCATCTTGAGGTTCAACCAGATTCTGTGAGACAATCTCACCTAGGAATGAGTAACCCTATGTCTAGTAAAACTGATTCTTGCTTGTCTGTTAGTGAGTTGAAAACTGAGAGTGAGAGATCAATCATGGTGTGGCATTACAAGTTAGGACACCCAAACTTCATGTATTTGTCTAAGCTTTTTCCAAGTTTATTCAGAAATAAAAGTGCTAGTTCTTTTCAGTGTGAAACTTGTCAATTTGCAAAACATACTCGTAGTTCATACCCTATTCAGCCATACAAAGCATCAAAACCCTTTTCTATGATCCATAGTGATGTTTGGGGCCCATCCCAAGTTCCAAATGTCACAGGGGCTCGGTGGTTCATCTCTTTTGTAGATGATCACACACGACTCACATGGATTTTTCTCATGAAAAATAAATCAGATGTCCCTCAAATATTTAAGAATTTCAACACAATGATTAAAAATCAATTTCAAACTGTCATTCAAATACTTAGAACTGATAATGGAAGAGAGTTTTTTAATTCTAATCTTGGCTCATATTTATCAACTGAGGGAATTATACACCAACGCTCATGTGTAGATACCCCTCAGCAAAATGGGATAGCCGAGAGAAAGAATAGACACCTTTTGGATATTGCCAGGTCTTTGTTGTTTTGATCCAATGTTCCAAAATGTTTTTGGGGTGAGGCTGTACTTACAGCAACATACCTAATCAATCGACTTCCATCAAAAGTACTAGATTTTTCCACTCCACATAAAGTATTTTTACAAAACTTTCCTCAAAGTCGTCTAATTTCCACTCTTCCTCTAAAAATATTTGGGTGTACTGTGTTTGTTCATATCCATCAACAACATCGAACCAAGCTTGACTCTCGATCCACTAAATGTATCTTTGTAGGGTACTCTCCTAACCAAAAGGGTTACAAATGCTTCTATCCTGACAACCAAAAGTTCTATCACAACATGGATGTCACATTTTTTGAATCAAAACCCTATTACATCAAAACTGATATTCAGGGGGAGAGCTCTAGTCAAAGTCAATCACAAGAATATCAGTTTTTCTTAGAGAGCATAGATTGCACCCCAGAAACATCCAAAACTACAAATACACCTTATTCACCTGAAAGTGCTTCTACCCCATCTCCAAGTGTCCAACCTGAACCTGAACCTCAACCAATTGATTCTACATCTCCCAATATAATTGTCTACCACAGAAAAAGGGGAAAGCTGAAGGAATCAGAGACTTTAGCAGATTTATAGCTACTGCCAGCATCTGAACCTGAGGTAAATATCCCTACATCTGATTTACAAATTGTGGAGGAAAATTCTGCAGGTTCTAGTTCAAGTAATCTTGGGAATTCCGATGAGAATCTACCCATTGCACTCAGGAAAGGGGTGAGAGAATGCAGAAGTAAGCCATTGTACCCTATTGGGAACTATGTGAACTATGATGGGCTATCTTCATCTTACCAAGCATTCACCAGAAAAATCAATTCTATATCCATTCCGAACTCAATCCATGAAGCCATGGCTATCCCGGAATGGAAGAAGGCAGTCAATGAAGAAGTTAATGCTTTGGTGAAGAATGGTACTTAGGAGATTACTGATTTGCCTCATGGAAAGAATGTGATCAGGTGCAAGTGGATTTTCAATGTAAAAACAAAAGCAGATGATAGTATTGAAAGATACAAAGCTCGATTAGTAGCTAAAGGATTTACTCAATCCTATGGCATAGATTATGAGGAGACCTTTGCTCCGGTAGCAAAACTCAACACTATTCGAATACTCCTCTCTCTTGCAGCTAATTTGGATTGGCCCCTGCATCAACTAGATGTCAAGAATGCATTCTTGAATGGAAATCTAGAAGAAGAGGTCTATATGGACATTCCCCAAGGACTACAGAACTCATCAAACATCAACAAAGTGTGTCGACTAAAGAAGTCACTTTATGGTCTTAAACAATCACCCAGAGCTTGGTTTGAGAGATTTACCAGAGTAGTGAAGAGTAATGGGTATATACAAGGACAATCTGATCATACAATGTTTGTAAAACATTCTTTGGAAGGACTGATTTCTGTGTTGATTGTCTATGTTGATGATATTGTTATAACAGGGGATTATGCTGAAGAGATTTCAAGAGTCAAAGAATTTTTGAATAGAGAATTTGAGATCAAGGACCTAGGTAAACTCACATACTTCTTGGGAATGGAAGTGGCAAGGTCTAAGCAAGGCATTACAGTCTCTCAAAGGAAGTATGTACTAGATCTTCTAAAAGAAACATGTATGCTTGGGTGTAAACCTGCAAAGACACCCATGGACTACACCGCCAAACTTGGGTCTGAGAAGGATAGTGCTCCGATAGATAAAGGAAGATATCAAAGACTCGTAGGGAAGTTGATCTATCTGTCACATACTAGGCCAGACATCGCATTCTCAGTAAGTGTTGTTAGCCAGTTCATGAACAACCCTACTGAAGAACACCTGACAACGGTGTACAGAGTCTTAAGATACTTGAAAATGACTCCAGGTAAGGGACTATTATTCAAAAAGAACTCAAGGAGGGAAGTGGAATTGTATTCTGATGCAGGCTGGACAGGCTCAATCATAGATAGACGATCCACTTCTGGATATTGTACCTATGTTTGGGGAAATTTGACAACATGGAGGAGTAAAAAGCAAGCTGTGGTAGCTAGGAGTAGTGCTGAAGCAGAATTTCGAGCAATGGCTCATGGTATTTGTGAAGGAATCTGGGTGAAAAGAGTATTAGCCGAATTGAAGATACCTTTTAAGGGATCACTACAGCTACTTTGTGACAGTCAATCTGCCATCAGCATTGCTAAAAATCCAGTTCATCATGACCGGACCAAACATGTGGAAATAGATCGGCATTTTATCAAAGAAAAAATAGAAGGAGGAGAAATCAAGCCTACTTACATTCCTTCTAATCTACAAACAGCTGATATCCTAACTAAAGCACTTCCAAGGACACATTTTGAAGATCTTAGTTACAAGTTGGGTATGATAAATATTTACAACCCAGCTTGAGGGGGAGTGTTGGGATTCTTTGCTATTAATCAGCTAGGAATTAGGTTGTAAATTAATGTAATTAGCTGTCTATTTGTTTCCTATTTAGAATAGGTTAGGCAAGATTTCCTCCTTGAAGTAGGAAACAAGTCCTAATATTTAGGACTCTTTGTGTATATATACTTGTTCTAGTATAATAAAAATTTAGGTCATTCAAACCTAATTATTCACAAGTAGTTATCTCTACAGCTCAACAGAGCAGCAAAGATTGGATGGGAGAATTATGTTGACAAATGAATACCTTTTGGTTTACAAAAAGATATGCATTATGTAGTCAAGAAAGCCAATGTAAGCCTCTACTCTTATGCCAGGAAAAAAAAAAAAGGCAACAGTGACTTGTACCTTTGAAAAGTGAGCGTGCATTAAGCATGCTTGAAGGTAACTTGCTTTTCTTGCAAGCCGAAAGAAGGCAATAAAGTTACCTGTTCTACAAGCCCTGGAGAAGCAAACCAATTCACTTATCAGATCAAGTTTAATTCTTTAACCTGAAAACTAAATCAAGGGAAGAAACTACCTTGCTACATTACGAGCAAAAAGCACTTCTGGGGTTTGCCTCATCTCTGGTGTCATCTTTGCAAGATCCAGCGAGAGCTCTGCAGGTTCAACCTAGCAGAAATTGCTTATTTTCAGAGAAAAGTCTATATAAATCTGTACAACTGAGTCACAATGCAGATAACTTACTTTGTATCCAGGATGCTTATCTAGTTTGAGAAGCGCATAATAACCACGAAATTCTTTTTCTGCCGGCACATTAATCCCTTTCTTCCGGTGGTCATCATACATTTGAAACAGTTCAACTGAAGCTTTGTTCATCTGTTCAATGTTAAGGTGCGCATCAAATCCCTCAATTGACCCCTCTCCTGTTTTGTATTCGCATAACTCATGCATGGCAATTATATGAAGCCTTATCTGACATCCACAGAAATTAGAAAGACATTTAGTCTTGAGAACAATCAGATCATTCTTTGGAATTATCATCCAGCCGATGCATATTTGCCCAATACAGAAAACAGACTACAAACTGAAGCTGAGACACAGATGAATTAATATGGACAAAGATAATGATCCACCAAACCATCTTCTGAAAAAATAATAAATCACTTCTGTGTATGTGTGTGTTCTCGAGACAGAGAAACTGTGTGTCCATATCCTTGCACTTGAAATAATGCAGATTGAAAAGGGAATGTAAAGAGACAAGCTCATAATTGCTGCCCGAGAGGTCTAAGGCAAAGAATCACTAGACCATGATCACGTAAATGATCATTCCCCCTAACAATAACATTCTTGCATCAAATGTAGGATCATTGCGGAGAAATTGATATTAATTCAAAGAAAAAGCCATTTGCCGGATGTAACCCACATCCATAATTCCATGCTAAAAATATAAATAGAACAAGTGCTGATTTCCATCCTCCTGTATGGAAACAGGAAAATTTACCCAATCAAGTTACAACAATTAAGCATCATCCACCGCTGATGCTTTAGTTTTTTCAGAAGATGTCTTGCCAAAGCATTCAATACTTAGAAAAAACCAGAACATTGACCAACCATTTGCTCCAGCATAGTTATAGACTCCTGGCTAAAAATGTGCTGCATCCTGAGGTCCATTCGGATTGCTCGCATCCTATCCCACAAGAAGTTATACATGCCAAGAAAGTTGTCACTGTAAGGCTGATCTAGCAAATTGAGCAAATAATCAATAGTCTTCTGCAGGATGGGCAAAGGACGTATGAGGTTTGCTTCCCTCTCTGCTGTCCTAGTATACTGTGGAACACAATGATCATAATTTATCAATAAATAATGAGCCAACAAAAAGTAGCTTCCTAGAAAACAACAATAAACGATGCAAATAGACAAATTAAAAGTTGAGATGGAACATACTTTCTTAACAGCAAGAAATTTGTTGGTTTGATTTCTGTCTCCATCCAAGCGCTCATAATGGTCAAGGTCCCCTTTCCTTTCTCTTTCTGCCCTTTCTGACTCTGAAAAATCAAGATTTTATGCCACATCAAAAATATGGAAATTTCAGATGTTCCCATAAAACAGAAACCAGATACTTTGTTCCAGATAACAGTAGATTAAATGGAAGAAAAATTTTAGTGTAAGATATACACACATTTCTCTAATTGTCAGTATTGCAGTTTCCCCTCACCAGGAAATGATGAGGAAACCTAAACAGTGTGAAGACTGAATTATGGCAAAGAAAAATAATCTCGTGACATAAAAAATTGCAACTGAATGTCATACTATTAACAAGATTACTCCTAAGTCGAGCAGTTAAGAGGAATACCAGGACACATATCCGGACACAGCCCAACAATAACAGTGGATGTTTCGGACCCTTCAAACTCAGATGAAATATTGCTGTTGCTTAAATCCCCTGTTGATTCGATAGGGTGACCACCATAAACTTTTTGCCTTCCGTCTATAGCCTGCTCACGTCCACTTGCAGCAATCTTCTGGTCTGCAGTATCTCGGCTATTTTCAAAATCCTCACTTAATTCTGCCTTGAATCGAACTAACCGCTTTGCCTTTGCTTGTATCTCTCTGAAAATTGCATGTAAAAATAATTTTTCAGCTAGATTGATGATGCATGAAATAGTTTTAACTGTTAATGGAAATCAATATACTGAACTTACCTTTCAGCATCGTCTTGGGTGGAATATGGGTTTTCCTGAGATACTTTATCAACTGAAGGTAAAGGTGGTGATCTTGTTCTTTTTGCCATAGTGAAGCTGGTGGTCCTGGTGGGAGCAGCATCAACAGTAGCATTTACAGAAGGCAAATTCCTTTGAGGAATTTGAGAATTTGAGGTACTGAAAATAGCATTCAACCTACTACCTAACCTAGGAGGAGACACAGAATTCCTGGCAAAGGAGGCACAGAATCAGCTCACAAAGATGTGCAAAAGTGAAAATATGACTAACAGCCAGTAAGAAGAGAAAGCATGATACATCAATGTGTGAAAATCAGTCTATTTCCTTACTACACATATCACTAGATTCCCATTTGCAACATCTATAAACTTGCTGAATATCTAAAATGTGTCTAGCATCTTTACGTACAAAAGAATAGCAAGATTATATCATTATCTTCCCCACCAGTGGCGGAGCCACAACATTTAAGTGTGGTCAATTGACCCCACTCAAATTTATAAAAATTAATTATATATCCTATAATGGTCCTTAAATTTAAAGCACTCCACAAAATTGACCACATTAAATATATAAATAAACAAAAATATTGGGCTTAATTTTATATTTCAACTAAAAATAGCATTAATTAAACTATACATAAACAACTGGAAAAAGAGAATTGCGGAGAGAATTAAGGGTTAATTTACATATGAATAGAAATTTTAAGGTCATTCTTTATGGAAGGTAAAAAAAGAAATAAATAAATAAATAACTACTGAATTCGTAATTACCAGTTGAATTGATATGAAGTCATCTTGTTTTGATTTTTTCAGTTTCTTTATATTTTCCATTATCTTATACCTTAGACACCAAATTTTGCTATTATTTGACTCCTATATCCATATTTGGTTATCAAAATGGACTTAACATACTCCTCTGACTTTCATTTTCTTGTCCCTCTTTTCGTGCATTCTTTATAATGTTTTGCATAATATAATTCTAGTAAATCTTATCTCTTTATTCTATTACATTGCACTGAAATATAATACTTCCAATTAACTACAACTGCTTTTATACTTTCTTACTAGAAAGAACAACAATGATTGTTATAAAATGCATATTTTCATTATATTTTGATATGATGTTGAGTTGTTGATGAACCCACTGAAATTTTTTCTAGCTCTGCCACTGTTCCCCACCACTCTCTTGAATTCCTAAAGTTACCAAAAGTTCTTATTGTTGCTTCTTAGACGAAAATGCTGGCAGAAAACAGGTATAAAGAAAAAACATGATATCACATTGTCATTCTAGATGGTTCATTCTAAAGTTTCTTACAGTAAGTTCTAATCAGAATTCAAATGCCACTTGAGGTTCACAAATAGAAGAATCAACAAAAAGATCCTAACTCAAAAATCAAACTCCAGCCAGCTCTTTCAATATTGCTACCAGATATATGGTCCCAGTAAACACTGATGTGAACTATTATATTTGTAAATCACCTTTTATATTCGTTTTGGACAGGAAGATGATAATCCTGGAGAACTTCAGTAGCTGGTGAAACAAGTGGTGACCTAGTTCTCTTTGAGGCATGGATAGAATCATGAGAACCTGCAAAGGGTAGGACTGACGAGTCTTGACGAGTCAGCAAGTCAGGGTAATTTCCTGGCAACTTGGGATGGTCATCCCATGCAGATGGAGGCAAAGTAGACCTGTACAACAACTAACAGAATCACTTTCAAAGAGAGAACTGTAGGGAAGTCAGCAGCACACTACACGAATATTTATTGTTATGTGTCATTCACCAACCAAAAAGGCACAACCATGCATGTCAATGAAGCAACTGATTGTAACAATATAAAGAGATGATCTTTATAATAGTTCACCGGTAGTGAGCATCCATAATGACCTAAAGGATGCATCCAAACCTAAAACAAAAACATGGTTTTCATAAACAAGGACCATCTAAGAATGAGTTACGAGATGAGTGATTAAATTAGTTTCTAACATCAGATAGCCTGTTTTGTTTTTTAATGATTTTCTTGAATAATGTGCTCATCGCCATGCCACTAACACAACCACCTATGCACACGTGCACACAACAAATAAAGAAGAATTCAAACTTACTGTTGACCTTCGCCAAAAGGATTCTTAGCGGTTTTATTGTTTTCAAAATCCAAAGGAGGTGATCTTGTTCTTGGCAGAACTGAGTTATTCCCACTGCCAACATGAAAATCTGAAGGGCTACCAGATCAAACAACAAAGAAAAGTCAAAAGGCTCCCAATACACAGGTAACGTACTTCTTAAAAAGAAATGACTCAGTCAAAATCCATTAAACAAAATCTTGAAAAGTAACTAATGATAACTGAGGAAGATTGCAAAAAAAAACAACAGATCTAGGATTTTATAGAGAGTGAAAAAAAGGAGCAGAAGACACGAATAAAAAATTATAGGCTTTACCGAGAGAGAGAGAGAGAGAGAGATGTGATTATGATTAAAATATGAAATTAAAAGCGATGACAAATGCATCCCCTTCATACTACAGCCTTTGTAGCAAGATAATGTTCCCACCCACCCTTTATAAAATGGAGAAGTCAAGGTTCCATCCCATGTCATGACTCTGAAAGTTGGAAATTCAGTTGAGCACTACCCCATGCTCTAACCCACCTTTTCCATTTGACCAATGCAAAATGTAACCAGAGTGAAAATTCCTAGAACCAAGGAGATGCCTCCAAACCCCTTGATCAAAGACAGTTCTGAATGTGGAAGTTCGAAATTAGCACAATGGGTGAAAACTTGAGAAAAACACCATGACGACTAATACCAGTTCTAGGAATAGCTATGAAACGAAATAATTATTGCATTTGACTATAGAATGCTTATTTTATAAAAAGAAAAAGAAAAGGAAAGAAAAACAAGAAGTTACCTTGGAAGGAAATTTTGACAGAAATTTCTTGAAACGCCTTCATCTACAGAATGTGGAGGAGGAGGAGGTGACCTGCCCCTTTTCAGGTCCTGAAATCTAGCAACTTTAGCAGTTACACTAGTTCCAGAATTACGTGAAGAAACAAATGATGTGACTGCAGAAGACTTTGGATCATCATTAAAGAAAGATTCCTGCCCATTAACCCATCTAGAAGGAGGAGACTGATTGAAAGAGGGCCCAACAGATAGGTAAGAAGATGTTGTAGCAGGACGTGAAGGAGGTGACCGTAATCTTTCCACAGCTTCTGGCTTCCTATTACCAAAAGAAAATCCACTAATAAGAACAGCTTACAACACTTTGTTTCCAAACAAATTTCATATATATTGGAAAAATGAGAAAAAAGAGTACAGTTTTTTGGTAGGTTATTACCTCGGGATTCCAGTTGATTGGTAAGGAGTGGTAGCAAGACTAGAGGCTTGATAAATCAAAGGTGGTGACAGCGCTCTCCCTACAGCTTCCGGACCCCTATGATATTATTAAAAAAAAAAAAAAATCATAACTGTCTCAAACCACCAAAGGATCACACAGGCACAAAAGCACAAGCTGAGCATGGATTCATAGGTTTCTTGATTGGTGAAACTAATTAGCAACTCCAAAAATTCAAACTTGAAATTTAGGCACCGCAGCTTGTATAGTAAAGATTGAAATTGAAATTGAAAATGATCGGCATTAATGAATTAAAAATATAACATAAAAAGAGTACCTGGGGGGAAAGGGGAAGATGACAGAGGAGGAGGACCAAAAAGAGGTTGAGATAATGAAGATGCGGTTGGGCCTGCTTTCTTCCCAAACCCCGAAGACATTATTATTACTTTCTCTTCTCTTCCTTCTTTCTTGCTTCTGTTAATAACTAACTAAGCACATCTATCTATCTCTGTTTTGGCTATCACAGCTCCTCTGCTCGCTTTGGAAACTGAAACTGAAACTTCATCGTGGACTGGCGTCCATTATTTGAATCCACTCCTGCGCTTCTCTCGTCAAAAATAAGGGATTTAACTTAGGAGTTAAACGGCGTCATTTTTCGATTTTTGTTTATTTACTTTTGGATAAAAAACTTGAGGCCGGTTAGTCGGCTCATAAATTTGTTTCTTGGGCCCAAACCCATGAATAGAAAGACGGAATGGGTTAATGAAACTGAATTGGTCAGGTAATCCGTCTCTGTTCATTCGATATTTATTACCTTATTAGGTAGAGAGATGAAGTTAGGGCAACCCATCGTCATCATCACGGTCACTGAGACCAGGAATCCCATCATTTGGCTCCAATTTTAGGAAGTAGAGGATATAGATAGATTGCAATTAATGGCAGGTTCAGTCCAGAAAACTGAGGAGGAATGGAGGGCTGTTCTCTCTCCTGAGCAGTTTCGCATTCTTCGCGACAAGGGAACCGAGTAATCAATCCTCTTATCAATACATGATATTTACATTTTTCTTATCTGTTACCAACTTCATTGTTTCATAATTCATTCATCATCTTTTTCCTTTTATTGTTTGTGTTCTTTTGAGTTTTATTGCTTTTAATATGATTCTTGGTAATTTATATTCATTTATGATTAATTTGTTCTGTAAGTAAATTGGATCAGAGCTTGTAGCAGCTGTGGGTAACTTGAAGTGATTTTGATCTGATATAGTGATGGTGTTTCATTGATATTCAGGGCAAAATTCACTGGGGAATATGACAAGTTCTTTGACGAAGGAGTTTACTGTTGTGCTGGTTGTGGGACGCCACTTTACAAATCCACTACTAAATTCGACTCTGGCTGTGGCTGGCCTGCTTTTTATGAAGGTTTCCCTGCAGCCATAAATCGATCTGTGAGTTTTTATTTATACTTTTGGGCGATTTGTATATGTGTTCTCGATTTATTGAAAAATGGAACAATGAATTTCAGCCGGACCCTGATGGGAGGAGAACTGAGATCACATGTGCAGCTTGCGGGGGGCATCTGGGTCACGTATTCAAAGGCGAGGGTTATAAGACTCCGACAGACGAACGCCATTGTGTCAACAGCATCTCAATCAAGTTTGTTCCTGCTGATTAATCTCCACCCTTCATCTGCGGAGTCGTCAATAAAGGGAAGGGTTTCAAGACTCCAAATGCAACTGTGCCAAGAACATTCAATCAAGACTGTTCTAAATAATGTGTATCTTTATGGAGTTCATAAAAGCTTTCGTTTACAGCAATAAATCCCCTCCCCTCTGCCTCTAAAACTAGTCACTAGGATACCTTGTATAAACGCCAAAAATGGTGAGCATTAAGTGATGTTGTGCTGACGAATTGTCGTATGAATGCTTGTAAAGTGCATGCATTTGCCTTGCTGTTGTTGGTATTCGTATTTCAATCCCCCCATGATTATTACATATTATCTTACTGTGTTTTCTGTTAAGGAGTGTAACTTTTACTTGTATTGTTCATTTCTTGTCCAAGTCCATCCTTCTATTGTATTGTAGAAGAAGCCAATTACTGTGAAGCAAACATCAGTTTTGGATGCAGTGTGATGACAACCTTTTTTTAAGTCTTTAGGTGTCGCTTTGTTATTAAGAATGAAAGATCCCAAATGAAAAATGCAAAAATCGAAATGATGTTTGTATTATAATATTTTGTTTGGAATACTAAGGAGGAATGGAAATAAAATTAAAATTTTTTAATATTTAGCTTTTTATATAAATAAAAATAATGATTAAAAAAAATAATTTTATCAAATTATAATGGTCGTAAAAATAATAAAATTGGTGGTAGTTATAATGCTGGTTGTAGTGATGGTGAGAATGGTTGTGATGATGGTGGTGATGGTTATAGTAGTAGTGCTTGTGATGACGGTTGTGCTGGTTGTGATAACGGCGATAATGATGGTAGAAATAGTTAATATATAATAAATAAATAAAATATATTATTATTTTGAAAAAATAAAATTTCATTCTCATTTTTTTTTCACATTTTAAATGAAAATGAAATTATATATAATTTTTATTCTTATTATCACTTTTTATTCTCATTTTATTCTTTTTAATCAACCATTCGTTACATTTTTATTATGAAACAGCATTTTAATATTTTAAGAGTTAGTTATTGTACTTTCGGCTATTGGACTGACATTCATGAGTAGAAAACTATAATATTTTATGCACCAACCATAATATTTTGGACACCTAAAAAACCTTCGTTTTCTTGTTTTAGAAATCAACAGAGAAACAAAAACTTGGTTCTCTCTTTCCTCCCAAGTCGGCTATCACAAGGCAGGAAAATAAATTTTTACTTTCTTTCATATCAAACAAACATACATTTTGATCCCTTTTTTTCCCACTTCAATCCTTTTTCCATTTATTTATTCATGAGATATACTAAGATCGCTTATGAACTGGACTTATAACATACACGGAACATAATCTGCATTTGCAGTCTTGAAGCAACAAGGCTTTCAAGAGCCAATTAAGCTGTGCACTGGTGGTGTTAAAAAGGAAACGGCAGCGAGTTCTGAATTTACATGCTAAATGGATACTCTACTCAAATGTTCTTCTCTCTTTTGCATCATTAGAAATTCCAACTAACTTCTGCAATGGTTTCAGATGCAATCAGGGCCAACAACTCATCATCATAACCATTCCATCCGACAGACTCAAATGACACCTACCAATCCCCAAGATCACAATCGCAAAGCATGCTGCTCATTGCAGTTTCTATGCTATAACGATAACAGATCAAGCCCTAGAAGCCCCACTTCATGAAGTAATTGCTAACATGCTAATTAGCACAACTTCTTTTTCTTCTATCTATTTCAACTCTTCTTTTGCAAGCTCACATGCTGATAAGCATCAATTGATCTATGTGATTCCCAGTGACTATTTATTTCTGCTGTACACAACTATTTCACATCTCTTGTTAGCCTATTTATTATAAACAATAAAGAACTTCATGAATTACGACGCATCTGTGACCAAGAAAAGCAAATGTTTTAGTTCTTTTGAATTGAATCCTGATACGAGAGGAATTCCAAAATTCTTCAATAGCTCAAATGTTTACAGCAATCTATTGTGTTACAAAAATTGCCAAGCGGAGAATCAAATGTCTGAAATTAAGAATGCGGAAGTCGAGAGTTCATGTGAGTTGTGAGTTAGTCACGGTATTGGATCTTCCACGTTGCAGAATTTTCACTTCCCCTTGTCATTCTTCATCCTCTCATTGCATGCCTTCAAAGCCTGAACTTCTGTGAAGCATTTTAACAAACACCACATGTGTAAGCACTTCTTCACAAGCAACCACGTAGAATCCAACAACAAATAAAGTAATAGCATACCCTTTTGACAAGATTTCCAGTTTCTGTTGGAATTAACAAGGCAATCCTGAAAATTATAAGCAAAAAGAAAAGAAAAAAGTTCATTCAAATCAGTGACTATGGGAAATACCCTGCTGGGTTTAGGGTCTTAGTTTTTTTTTCTTTTTTTAATTAGTGGAAGATAATACCTGCAGAGAGAGGTACAGAGAGGAGCATTGTTTGAGTTGCTTAACGGTGTCATCATCCTCATCTGCATCGCTCTGGTGGAGCGGTTGTTGAAGAGGTGGTGGAAATGGAGATAGGTCTGTTTGGTTTTGTTGCTCAGCCATTGTGGGTCGGTTTTCTAGAACAATTAATTGTTAGATTTGTTTTGATGTAATTTTGAGGCATCGCGCGCCGATGCTCCAACTAGCGGAAAATTTACTTATTTTGGAAACAAATATAGTATTAAAAAATTCTAAAAAAAAAAAGTAATAAAACAATTATTCTTCGTTTTTACTTGATAAGTTTCAATAATAATAAAAATAAAAGTGTAATCAAGATATTGAAAATAGCCAATGTTAATGAACTATATTAAAAAAAACTTTTAATCACAGGTCATATGCCTTCTTGTTTTGTTTTTGATGTGCATATGTATTTGAAGAGAATGTAATGCCATGAACATTTCCTCAATATGCATACTTTTTGAAAATTCTAAAAAACATGCAGAACATGATTCATTAATCTCATTTTCTAATAACACCAAGTATGCATGCCACATGAATAAGTATCATGCACAATTAAACAACATGGATAGTATCATAATCAACCAATTTTTCATATAAACATGATCATTTCCATATCATTCATACCTCTAAACCTCACATTAACCTCTTTTTTCATTGTTTTCCATACTTAGTCGAATTAAGCCAAACGAAGGACGAGTTGACTTGTCGGTTTTTTCTAGGTCATTTTATCAAACAATTGATAGGCATTAAACATGACAACTATCAATCTATATCTACTTAAAGGATTATTCACTCATCTTGTTCGTGGAACAAAGACATCATCCAATCATAAACAATCAATTCATTTAAACATTCAAACATCACTATCATCACATAAGCATCATCCAACCATTGCAATTTAACCATTAACATACAATTCTCACTAACATACTTGTTAGCTCTTAATCAAACAATGTATAAATTAATCCTAAATCACACCTCCAACACACATTCTTATAGTGTAGGTGAAGAATCATACTTACCTCACGTAGAATCTTGACCTTTCTATTTCTTTTCCTCATTGGTTCCTTTTTTCCTCTTCATTCCAAAAATTCAGCTAAAGTGGAGAATTCTTCCCTTCTCTTTGCTTGATATTCTAAGATGATTTAGAAGCTAATTTAAGATATTTGTAAACTAGTTAGAGTGATTGGGAGTGATGGTTTGGATCGGTGGAGTCTTTCTCTTTTTTGCCCTAGGTTTTCCTTCCACCCCATCTCTCTCTCCTCTCTTTAATTTGGAATTCTAGATTTTTTGAACTCGTTTTTATCCCATAATTTTAACTAATGAGTCCCCCACATTATAGGCACTTTACATCTTAGCCTTCAAACTTCTAATCTTGGTAACTTGATCATATAATTTCGGTTTGTAACTTCACATTTTTCATCAATTTGTCCCTCATCTAGGCCGATTCTAAAGTTAATTCAAGTCCTTAAAGTTTCTTAATCATTTCAATTAAGGATCATGACATTTAATCTTTGCAATTATATTCTTACGTTTTGCAATTACACTCCTATGGAAATACATAACCATATTAATTAAGGGTATTATTGTCTAATTCAAGCTTCACTCATTTCATAAATCCATTTTATTAATTTTACTTGTGTTTCTTTTATCCTTAATTGAATTTCAAACTTCACTCACTCATTCAATAAATACTCTTTTTATTCATTTACAAAATATTCATACAATACATTTACATTTATTGGAGGGTTTTAGGCGATGAATATTACGGAAGCGACCTTTAAATTTAGCATGCAAACAATGGGTATTCAATCAAATGTTACAAAGAAAATAACATTCACAGATCCATCCCTTTAAATTCTCATCAAATATTCACCTCCCATACTAAACTTCCATTCATTCACGACTTCACACTCTCACCCATTTATTCGTAAATCGCACCCTTAGTCCTTTACGGCTCAACCTAAAGAACCATGTCTTCAACTTTAAATACTCAAATTCAACCGTCAACAAAACTCTCTTAACTTCTCAATTTTTAACTATTGAGTCTTCAAATTTCACAGCTTGACACATTCAATCAAATCACATAAATATTTGTTTAGAAATTGGAGAATTTAAAAAGGTGATTTTAAAAAAACTAATTTTATTATTTTTTACGTTAATTTATGAAAAAAATTCATTATTAATTGTATAGGTAATATATATATATTGTGAATACTTTTATTTTATATAATTTGATAATGTGAATATTTACATTAGGCTTGCATATTTCTAAAATTGTAATGATATTTAAGTTAATTACTTGCATTATCTCGTTTTATTTTCCTAACACACTAGGTGTTAAAAAATGTCATGAGATAGAAAAGAAAGAGTAGAACAACAACAACCTCCAAGTGCGGACATTAGATGGAAATTTGCTATTTCATTGGATGGCGATACTTGACAAGCAAGTTACAATGCAAGTACTATGGAAAGGTGGTTAAAAGAGGAATCACTTGTATCAAGGAGCATATAGCTCATAAAAAAGAAAATGTATCTAGTTGCTTAAGTGTTTCTAATGATGTTAGAAAAGATATGATGAAAGTCTTAAATGATTACAAAGCCACGAAACAAGATAAAGTCTTCGGACAAAGTTAGCTTGAGTATGAGATTATGGATTTTCTTATTCAAGAATAAACGGGTACTAATGATAATGAAGATGGAAAGCTCATGTCTTATATAAGACAAGAGAGTATAATACAACATGAGAGGAATAATTATAGAGCAAGTAGATGAGATTTATATGAAGAGGGTTCGGTTCTAGAAGAGGACAACACTAACAAGCTCATATCATGCATTGTTCATAAAGTTTGCATGAAAGAGCTGGTTCAAGAAGACGGCATAATGGTATTTCATCAATTCCTCCACAATCAACTTTCGGAAAACGATTGGAAAAGTTATAGAAAGATAACGTGGTTTTGCAAAAGACTACAAAAGGAAAAAAATAACAAAAATCAATAAGTTATCGGTTATATAAAATTCTAAAAGCAATATTAAGAGAAGCAGTTTGGCATTTTTTTACTTGACATTTTTTTGCTCATGAGAGAATCCCATTCAATGCTATGGAATTTCCTTGGTTTTCAACAATGCTTAAAACTATTATTGAAGTTTGTTTTAGAATTCCACCTCCTAGTATTAATGATCTTTTAGAGATGTATTTGATAGAAGAGATGACAAATATCAAAAAGTACATTAAAGATTACAAAAATATCCGAAATAAGAGAGGTGTCATAATCATGTGTGATAGATGGTATAACTAAAATGCACCTCATCAATTTTTTAGTTTATTCAAATCGAAATACGATGTTCATCAAATTAGTTGATACATTAAATGTGCTAACAAAGGATGCTAAATATTATTTTAGGTTGATGAAGAAAGTGGTGGATAAAGTTTGTGAACATAAAATGGTCTAGATAGTGACTCGATAATGAAGTTACTATGAAAGTCGTAGGAAAAAAGTTAATGCATGTTTGTCCTCACTTATATTGGTCGACTTGTTTTGCTCATTGTTTGGATTTAACTTTAGAAGACATTGAAAAAAAAAACTCCAAGGTTAAAGAAGTGCTTGAGAAGGCAAAAAAAATTACCTAATTTATTTATAATTATAATTGGGTAGTTAATTATATGAAAAAAATCACTAATTGTGTGACTTACTTCGGCATCACATCACTAGATTTGCCATCAATTTTGTTATTTTGGAAAGCATTGTTAAGTTTAAGAATGCACTCAAGATGATGTGAGAGTCAAAAGCTTGGAACAATTCTAGATATGGAAGGATGACGAATTGACTTGCTATTAACATTCGCATATTAGTGCTGCAAGAAGATCCACAAGTAATAAGATTATAAAAAAGACGAGTAAAGTGATAGCCATCAAGGAGCCAATTGTAAAGGTTTTGAAATTTATGGATGACGATGACAAGTTAACTATGGGGTTTATCTACGAAGCACTATAAAGAACAAAGTCAAAAATTCAAGCAAGTTATCGATATTCAAAAACATGGTGCGATATAATTGATAAATGATGGGAAATTCAATTACATATAGACTTACATGTGACTAGTAAGTATATAAATTTGTATAAATTAATCACAACAATCTAAAGATATCTTCAATTATTATTTATACTTAAATATCATTTAAAAGTAATGTTATTTACTCCTTTTGTTTTTATCCATTTTTTTTAATCCCTAATATCATTATGGATTCCGAGAGAATCCAATTTATCAAGATAAAAAGATCATGCAAGTGTGTCGAAATGCAATTATGAAATTAGAACCCGACATTGATAAGTAAACCAAAGCCATCAATGAACTAAGTTAAATAATCTTGTGAATTGTGATGATATAAGATGCTAAAAATATTTAATATTATATGATATATATCAATGTATAATATTATTAAATTATTTTTTAATTTAAATATGCAATTGGAATTATGTGGTTTGAAAAAACGAACATTTGGCTTAACCATAATCGAGAAGGCTATGTGTTCCACAAATCCATGTACTTATATTAATTTATAAAAGTTCATACTATAAATATTATTGTGTTTTTTTTTTTAATTTATGAAAATCTATTTGTTCAATGTAGCCGAGTGGTGGAAAGTTATGGAAATAATGCTTCAACGCTTAGAAAGATTGCAATGCGGATTTTAAGTCAAACAACTTTCGCTTCAAATTGTGAGAGAAATTGGAGCACTTTTAGCTTAGTGCATACAAAGATAACAAACATATTGAAGTATCAAAAATTACACACACTTGTTTATCTTCATTATAACATGAAGTCGAAGTTAAGAAATACATTGCGAGAAAAGTAAAAAAGAATTAAAGAAAAGTTTTAATCCAATTAATTTGGATTATATGTTTTATGAATATGATCCATTGTCTACTTGGTTGGAGGAAAATAAACAACGATTCCTCGATGGGCAAAATATGGATTGATTGCATGTGCATGATGATGACGGTGATGATGACGGTGGTGATGAAGAAAATGATCAAAACAATCCAAATTATCAAACTAATTTGCATAGTAATGATAATGGTGGTGATGATGATCAAGATGAGGAGCCTAATGATCCAGGAGCTTCTTATAACGAGTAATAGTAGCGAGTAATAATGATGGAGGTTGTGGAAAGGGAATAACTTTTGATAGCAGTGTCAATCCAATTCTATATAGGCGTGGGTTGCATGGTCCTACTCGCACCTAGATTCGATGCTATAAATAAAGCACCAATAGCAGAACAACAACAATCTAATGGTACTATATTGCATTATCAAAGACATCACTCTATCTCTTTCGAAGATAGTTTGACTTCTAGCTTCAATTATGGTCGAGGACAATACTAACACCCACAAGTTTCATAAATATATGATTATGTATCTTATGATTCATATAGTACTTCATCATACCAATCAATTTCAAATCCACAATATCCTCAAGAAATTGGATCATCCATTGTCGCTTCATTATCCGCGCAATTAGATTTAAAAGGACAATATAGTTATGGTTGTAATTTTGATAGATGAGAATCACAACATCAACAACAAGATGATAACTATTATTATGACCCTCAATAACGATCTTTTTGAAGATAAATATTTTGTAATGTGTATATTAAAATTATAATATATTTTATTATTTTTCATGTGATGTTAATTTATTGAAAGTATTATTAATTATTTTTTGTAATAAATTTAACTATTGTTATATGTTATTAAACTATTAGAGATGTTATTACTTATTAATATATTTAATTAGTAAAATTGTCAAAAATATGTGAATTAGAATAAATTTATTAGCGATTGCTAATGTATTCATGACATCGGTCGCTACGATCATTATTTTACAACCGTGATAATAAGCCGCGATTATGATCGTTTTTTCAAATCGATCGTTATTTAAAACTATGACACCGTAAGAAACATTATATAATATACGTTTATAGAAATCTTATCACATTTATACTCGAGCTTGAAACAAAATTGAATTTATTTGACATAGCAAAGCCATCCCTCAAACAAATTAATGACGAAGAATCTTAATTAGATAAATTTGTTGTTTTTTTTTTACTCTATTAATTCATATTCGAATCCAAAATTAAATAAAACTAGTTAAGATATACAAAAACTAGAAAAAAAAATTACTATAATTGTTATAAAAAAAATTCCAAAAACATCGAGTAAATTTCAGCTAACCATGGTTATTTGGTTTGGTTAAAACTACGTCATGTATGAGAAAAAAAAATAAAGAAAAAGTAAAAAATATTACTAACATACCATCAGAATCCTTCCAACCCCATGCCATATGTACACACACAATATATTATATACAGACAGTGAGTGACATTCGTTGTTCTAGCAAAAACTACAATTATAAAAAATAAAATAAAATAAAAACTTAAAAAAAAAGAAGGGGAAAATAACGCATATATTTTTGCCCCTTCTGTGATTTTTTTAGATTGTTTCCAAATGGTAATGCCCTTTTGATTTTTTTTAGCTCACAGTTCTGGTACGTCTCGATCATTCAATTCGCTTCTTAAATCTTTATTTCGTTTATGGATCTTTTTTAATTTATGTCTTTAGTGTTTTTCTCAATGGGTAAATTTTCTTGCCTTTAAGCTGTTTTGATCCATTCATTGATTCTTGATTGTTGTTCAAATTTATACGGTTGGTGTTACGATATCTTGTTTTTGTCTACTGGGTTGGTTTGATTCATTGGTTATTGATTTTTGTATCTGGGAATTCTTTGTTTTTGTTTGATTTTGCGATTCTTGATTTGGGTTATCATTTGATAGTGAGATAAAACGGTATATACTTGAAGAAATGATTGTATTGTTGTTTGATTTGTATTGATTGTCAGTTGATGACTTGTTTAGCTCGCTTTTTTGATATTGAATTTGAGATTGAATGTTTATTCTGTTATTCTGATACAATCAAATTTGTATACGTTGAGGGTGGACGGATAGATTATCTATCTAAAGATATCGGTTTTATCTATTTGCAGATTAAAATGGCATCAATGGTTGCTAAACCCAGTAGTAGTAGTTGTCCCAGTCAAGTGTCGCCATTGGTGTCAATCCAGGAGAAGGGAAGCAGGAATAAGAGGAAGTTCAGCGCTGATCCACCTTTGGGTGACCCAAGTAAGATTATGTCTTCGGTTCTGAATGAGTGTCAAGGTTATGAATTTTCTGCTGAGAAATTCGAAGCCACTCCGGGTCATGGGCTGTCCAGTGTCTGTGACTTGTGTGGTGTAAACCAAGACCATTCTGATGGGTTAAAACTTGACCTTGGATTGTCTAGTGCCTTAGGTTCATCTGAGGTTGGGCCAAGCCAGCCCAGAGGGGAATTAGAGGCAGATGAATCCCATGATGCTGATTGGAGTGATCTTATAGAATCTCAGCTAGAAGAACTTGTTTTGAGCAATTTGGATGCAATCTTCAAGAGTGCAATTAAGAAAATTGTTGCTTGTGGTTATACCGAAGAAGAGGCTACAAAGGCCATTTTGAGGTCTGGTCTTTGTTATGGGTGTAAAGACACCGTGTCAAATATAGTGGATAATACTTTAGCATTTCTTAGGAACGGTCAAGACATTGAACCTTCAAGAGAGCATTGTTTTGAGGATTTACAACAGCTGGGGAAGTATGTATTGGCAGAATTGGTTTGTGTTCTTAGGGAAGTCAGGCCTTTCTTCAGCACTGGAGATGCAATGTGGTGCTTGTTAATTTGTGACATGAATGTTTCTCATGCTTGTGCAATGGATGGTGATCCCTTGATCAGCTTTGCTGCCGATGGTGCTTCAAATGGGACCTCATCTGTTTCCCCTCAACCCCAGTCGAAACCAGAATCCAAATCTTCTGAACTAAATCTTCCAAATCCTTGTTCTCAATCTGAGGCAAGCACCAATGTGACAGGAGTTCACAAAATTACAAAACCTAAGAACTCTGCTGTTCTCAACGGACCAGTCTCGGATAAAGAGGGAACAGATTCTATAGTTGATCCTAGCAATAAATCCTTCAATGTTGCAGGATCATCTCAATCTACTATATTGGAAGAAAAGTTTGTTGTTAGTAGGAAGGCCCCTTCTGGTGGTAATAAGAGAGAATACATACTTCGACAGAAGTCACTTCATCTGGAGAAGAGTTACCGAACGTATGGATCTAAAGCTTCAAGAGCAGGGAAACTAAGTGGTTTGGGTGGTTTAATTTTGGATAAGAAACTAAAATCTGTTTCAGACTCTTCTTCTGTTAACATAAAGAATGCTTCATTAAGATTAAGCAAGGCAATGGGAGTCGATGTGCCTCAAGATAACAGGAACCTGAATCTTCCTGGCAATCCCTCTTCCCAAGCAACATTTAATTCAGAGTCTTCTAGTATAGGCTCTTCTATCCCTAAGACTGATATCTCATCATCATTACCCCAAGTAAGTGCCCTGCCAGCCCTGCCAGCTCTACCTGCAGTCAATACCCCACCTGCATCATCAGCTGCCGATACTGAGCTCTCTCTTTCACTGCCTGCAAAAAGCAACTCAACTTCAGATCCTACTAGTTGTAGTGCTGAGGCACGTAAATCTAGTTATGCTAAGATACCATATAACAAGTCTCTGATGCAGTGGGTCCCCTGTGACAAGAAGGATGAGATGATTATGAAGCTTATTCCCAGGACACAGGAACTACAAAATCAGCTCCAAGAATGGACAGAATGGGCAAATCAAAAGGTTATGCAGGCTGCTCGAAGGCTGGGTAAGGACAAGGCTGAACTTAAGTCACTAAGGCAAGAGAAGGAAGAGGTTGAAAGGCTCAAGAAAGAGAAGCAAACTCTGGAGGAAAGCACTATGAAGAAGCTTACTGAGATGGAAAATGCTTTGTGCAAGGCCAGTGGGCAGGTGGAGAGAGCCAATTCAGCTGTCCGGAGGCTTGAGGTGGAGAATGCTGCGTTGAGGCAAGAAATGGAGGCTGCTAAGTTACGTGCAGTTGAGTCAGCTGCAAGCTGTCAGGAAGTATCAAAGAGGGAGAAGAAAACACAAATGAAGTTTCAGTCATGGGAGAAGCAAAAAACTCTACTCCAGGAAGAGTTTGCGACTGAAAGACGCAAGGTTTTAGAGCTACTACAGGATCTTGAACAGGCCAAACAAATACAGGAACAACATGAGGTATGCGTCTGAGAATTTGGCTCTAATTTCCTTTCCCTCCATCTTTTTCAGAGGTTACACGCTGGTTATGTTGTGACAATCGTCTGCCAGTCATTTGATTTTTAATGTAGCATGGGTGCTTTAGATCAACCATTGAGTGGTGCAGCCAGCGAAAGGTTTTCCTTACCAACCTATTGACCGTTTCAAAACATCGTGACTTACAATGTGGTGCATAGCTTGGATGATTGGTATAGGTTGTGCACTGCTCTGAAAAAGAAATATGGATGGAATGATGAATAGTGCTCAATTAGGTTGATACCTGGTTTGAGACTCTTTACTACATTTCCAAGCGTGATGTGTTGCATGCAGTTGTGTTCATTGACATATGTGTAAGACATACACTATTGGGCTACTTCTATTTGAAGGCTAGTTCATGTCATAAGCACACATGTAGAGGTAATGATTTATGCATTGGACATAGAATATATGCAACTGATTCTAAAAGGATAAAATGCACTTCCCTGCTGGCATCTGCATGATTTGGCACGGAAGGGACGTAAATACATGTTAACATGGATCTCATATATTTATTCTTAGCAGACATGCTGTTGTTTTTGTTATGAAAAAAATGTTTGTGTTACTGTGTATAGTGATCAAAATTTTGTTAGCCGATTTTTTTCAACTGTATTTCTTCATCTCTTACCCTTCTATTTCTTGCTACTTAAAAATTGAACAATAAAATGTCTGGCTGGATTCTCCTCTAGATCTTCTTACCTTCAAATTGGTTTGCAAATCCTTATTTTTAAACCGAGTTCTTATTTATTTGTCATTTTATTATCCTTTTTTTTTCTGTGTTCTATGGAGCATTTTTGTTTGTCTTTTACTTACCACCTCAATCCTGAAGTGAAATATTTTATCCATGTCCCAGAAGCTTGATAGTGTAATAGTAAACATCTGCATCCGGTGACCGATTGTGTAGTATCAAAATGTCCTTTTTTGGAAGTCTCTAGTTTGCATGGCAAATTGGATTCAACAGATCCCCTTAAGTTTGTGATAGATGCTTCCAGTAATTATACTTTATTGCTAGGCCTTTTCTGATTGAAAATGTAAAATGTCACAGGCTAGATGGCGACAGGAAGAGAAGGGAAAGGAAGAACTACTCATGCAGGCCAGTTCGACAAGAAAAGAGAGAGAGAGCATCGAGGCTTCAGCTAAATCCAAGGAGGGCATGATCAAATTGAAAGCGGAATCCAATTTGCAGAAGTTGAAGGATGATATTCAGAAGCTTGAAAAAGAAATCTCCCAATTGAGACTGAAGACTGACTCTTCAAAAATTGCAGCACTTCGAAGGGGCATTGATGGAAGCTATGCGAGCAGACTAGCAGATATAAAAAGTAGTCCCGCCCAAAAGGAGTCAAGCCCCCTTATATCTCAGAAGTGGCCACAGATTTCCATGACTACTCTGAGACAGGAGGTGTGAAACGGGAGAGGGAATGTGTTATGTGCCTCTCGGAAGAGATGTCCGTAGTTTTTCTCCCATGTGCTCATCAGGTGGTTTGCACAACATGCAATGAGCTCCACGAGAAACAAGGGATGAAGGACTGCCCTTCATGCAGGGGCCCCATCCAGCTGCGCATTCCTGTACGTTATGCTCGCTCTTAATTTACTATGGAGTGGAGTTGAGTGTTTTGAGTAACAATTCTGGGACTCATTTGAGTTGAATAATGCATCCGAGTGAACAGTTGGAAGAGTTAAAAGACAATCAAATTGGCATACAGTGCAATGTCTGTCTGCAGAGTGCTTTCCCCATTTTGTGTTTTCTTTCCCTTAAAAAGCATAAAATAAAAAACTCGAAATGAGATTCTAGACTAAATAGCTTGATCCTACATCTGGATGGATGTCCTGCAACAGTTGTGAGAAACATGCTGTGGGTGAAATGAAATTGTTTCAACTTTCCAAGGGATGATGTTTCAAGTTAAAATCAGAGAAGTTGATGGGTATAATAAGCTCTCTTCTTTCTTCCTATAAGGTTAAAAAATGGCTTATAGAATACAGATGATGTCCTTTGCCTTTGCCTTTGTGTTGTGTCTGCTGACTTCTTTTTCTGTCAGCTGGCTATCTGGAAGGAAGGAATTATCCATTTGGTTCCAATGGTGGAATTTTGGACGAGTCGCTATTTGAGCTTGATAAATGGGCATTAAATTTTGAGCTACAGAATCCTTTACTTGGAAAGAATTGACAAACTGACGGTAAGTAACAAACAGAGATAAGATGAGAGAGGGCATGGTTAGCATTTCCCAATTCCTATGTGGTCAAAGACTTGCACACGTGGCACAATTTATTTGGAGTCGAAGTATATTCCATGGTGAGAGTAAGGGGCCTACTAGTAACTTCATTGGCTGCGCTTCTTCTAGTGTGCAGACCATTGATTAGTTCCGATCTAAAATCTCTAAAATATCCTTTCTAGCTTCGCCAATGACAGGGAAAGGGCACGCATCTGCCTTGCCCATTTCCTGATAATTTGGAAGTCGGAACGCAACGACACTTCTCCATCCCTAATTCTAGTTCATTCCTGAAACTTCTTATGCATGCAACTTATTTTCAGTTTTATATTTTATATAATTTTTTTTAAATAAAAGACTAATGATTTATTTGAAAAGGTAGAGTTTATGACTCTATTAGGTATATAGTTTAAATAATAGATGATTGAGAAAACGATCATGATCATCATTGCAGATTGCGATTTATTATAATCCTAAAATAATAATAACGAAATATTTCAAAATTATTATATAACGATCGACATATAACGTAATAAGAGTTATCTAAAATTATATTATTATGGATCAATTAAATTGACTTTCAATAAAATATACATGTGCGTGCATATATGATTTCATAAAAAAAATTTGTAAATGTTAATATTTATTGATACAGTATATAGTCAAAATTATTAATCCACACAACTTATCCTCTCTCTCCGCCAAATAAGAAAAGCTTGGATTTGATTTTTTCTTTTTCTTTTTTCCACACTTATTAACCAAACAGTTAAATGACAGAAAGAAGTCAAATTATTAATCCTTTTTTTCCAAAAAACTCCTTAAATATTAAAAAGACAAATCTGTTGTGTTGGATGACGTGTTATTAATATGCGTGCCACTGGATAAAGAGCGAGAAATATTGGAAAAAGGACCCCAATTTCACTCCCTTGGTTTGGGATAGGCATAGTATACGGAGGTTTTTTTTTAAAAAAGAAAAAAACAAATTAATTATCGTGAAAGCAGGTACAAACTGATTATATGAGAAGGTATGTTTTCTCATGATTCTTTTATAATCAGCTAGATAATCCTACAATTATTTAATTTTTTTAACATGTCACTTGGTATCATATAATTATTTTTATTAATTTTTATAATTATCCCATTAAATATGATATTATCTTCTTTTCATAATTTGAAATTCATCCTTACAAAAAAAAAAAAAAAAGGTAATTAATGTCTGACGAAAACTGATAAACAGGAGAAAGTATGATTTCTCGTGTTTCTCTTATAATCAGCTAGATAATGTTACAGTTACTTAATTTTGTTTTTTGTTTTTTTATTAAGTCATGTCACATCATACAATTATTATTTTATAAATTATAATTATCCTATGCAAGCAGGATATTATCCACCTTTCATAATTTAAAATTCTTTAAAAAATAAAAAATAAATGCCACTTTATTTATTAAGTAGAACTTATTAACAACTGGCATTAAATTTAGAAATATGAAGTGAAGTGTGGGCGGGCGTCACGGCCATGGGTAATTCTGATCACATTCTAGTCTGACTGGAGAGAGTCAAATATTTAGGAGTTAAAGCTCCAACGGGCAATGACTTAGCGGCTATATATCCGTAATTTGGTGTCCACTCGTGTCACTCTATCATACTTTTTGATTGTCCAGAAAATATTGAATGATAACATTATACACAAAATACCAAAAAAAAAAAAAAAAGAAAGAAACACCAACCGCCATTTTTGTTTCGAAGAAGCTAGCTAGCTCGCTCCATAATAATTAAGTTCCCGGCCTTCTCCATCTTTTTTCTGCTCATTCTCTTTGAATTTTCAGGTAACTTAGTTTGATCTTCGTCAATAGCAGCATCATCAATCCTTTTTTTTTTTTTTTTTTGTAGAACTTCTTAGCTATTTGGCATTTTACATACTACAAGTAAAGATCATTAATCAGAATTCATATTAGCTGGTTACAAACTTAATTTGGATATTCTCTGATAAGCAAACCTGAAAGACATGCAATAGCTTCCTTGATCATTTGAGCCTTTCTCTAATTGTAGACAAAAGCAAATATTAATTTCACTCTTTCTAGCTAGAAATGAACCAACAAATCATCATCATTTTTTCACATCTCAATCAATATTTATTAATTCAATTAAAAACATATATTAATAATTAATTATCGGCTGGCGATCGATCGAAGATGTCCTCCACAGTCAAAGGTATGCTTATTAGGAGTAGTGCACCGGTGGGGTTCTGCTGCGGCAGCAGCAGGAGGCAGAGACTGTTCAAGGGGAAGTTCGTGGATCTGAATGATTATTTACTTATAAAAGAAAACCGTTCAATCATACGGTTGAGCCAGAGTGGTCGAGTTTGTGGGATCCGCGCCTGTCAGGATAGGTATAACAATGGTGGGTTCGATAACATTTCCAAGCCACCGTTGCAGACCAAAACCCGAGCACAAACTCTCAGTAGTAGTACCCCAGCTGTATCGGACCCAACACCCACCGCTACAAAGGTACTTCTTCCTCCTCCTAATTACGTTATGTTTCCTTTCTACTGCTCCAATTAACTTGGATGATGGGAGCTTGATTGTGGTTGAAGACTTAAGGAATAATAATGCTGTTTTTTGTTCTGATTCAGTGGTAATGGACATTTTCAATGCTTGTTTGTTTATGGAGATTAAATTTCTATCTCAAACAATATGATAATTTTTTTTATTGATAATAATCTTAAAATTCGAATCTAGGAAAAGAAAAATAGTAATAATAACAAACCCTTTTAACCGTGGTACCAATCCTTTCAAGTTAGTAACGCTGATATTATTGAATAATAAATTTTCTTTCTATAACGCCTGGATTGCGCTAGTGAAATCCCATTCCATGCTGCTGGTCCCCCATTTTGTTGTTTCGGCTTTATGAGGGCTGCATCTGGGCTTGTCACGTGTAGTAATGGGCCAACCTGGGCCTCTTTTGCTATGTCAGTCCTACTTTACCTCCATGGAACCAGCGGAAGTAGGTTGCCCATCGGGTTAGAATGGGCTTGGGAACCATCCATCCAACCCACTGTGCGTTTCTCGACAATGTTTGGGCCAATCCTGGGCTTGGCTTGGGTTCCATATCAAGGCTATTTACCCATTCTGGTAGATAAAAAGCAAAAACATACTGCAGTTATATCCAAATGCCTATAAGAAAATGAGAATTAAGAACTTAGGCAAGGCAATGCATGAATCTAAGTTCTGATTAGAATTCATGAAACCAGTAAATATATATTATTGTAGCGTCCACCAAATGGTTCATGGCTTCATGCTAGTTAGTGCCAAAAATCAAAATCGAAAGCCTTAGTATATTTTATTTTTTTTCACAACAGAGAGGTTTGAACTCTAGATTTTTATGAAGATGGAGGACATTAATGTTTGAGCTACAGTTCGTTGGCTACTTTAAAATTTATTTAGTGGCTGCACAGCCTTGACTGAATTGAGCCATAGATAATAGTAGATGTCACTGAACTGAAAAACTGCCTGTGGAATGGAATATAGTCCTAGAGTTACAAGGCTAAAACTCATCTCTTCTCTCTTTTACACAGAGAGTATTTACTTTTGGAAAAGGAAGGAGCGAAGGCAACAAGAGCATGAAGTCTCTGGTAAGCACCCAACTTGTTTTGACTGTTATCAAATTTCATGGTTATAGTTATGGCGTGAACTGCATTGTAAATTATAAGCAATCTAGAAACCAAGTTAATCTTCTGATATGGACATGTGCATGTGTTTACTTTAGCTGGGGGGAAGGGAGCAAACTTGGCAGAGATGGCAAGCATTGGTTTATCAGTGCCACCTGGACTCACCATATCAACAGAAGCATGCCATGAATATCAGCAGAATGGAAAAGAGCTGCCAGAAGGTTTATGGGAAGAGATATTGGAAGGCTTAAAATGTGTGGAGAAGGACATGGGAGCTTTCCTTGGTGACCCTTCCAAACCTCTCCTCCTCTCTGTTCGTTCTGGCGCAGCGGTAAGACTTTCTATTTTAAGTTTTCATAGAGCAATGAATCACGCAACCGTCTCAGCTTCTGGTACTATATTTATGATTATGCATGTAACTTCCATTTTATTTAGATGTTACACCATCCTGGACATTGATTAGAATTTGATCTGTATGTCTAGATTTCCATGCCTGGTATGATGGACACTGTCCTTAACCTTGGACTGAATGATCAAGTGGTTTCTGGTTTGAGTGCGAAAAGTGGAGAGCGTTTTGTCTATGACTCTTTCAGGCGCTTTCTAGATATGTTTGGAAATGTTGTAAGTGGTTCTTGTTGATTCATTTCAAACCTTGAAAATAATATACCTAAACTTCTAATTTTTTTCTTGGAATGCGTTGGTGTTCAACGAAATCCCTCAGTCGCAAAACGCTGTTTAAAAATTGCTTCCTTTGTGCAATCTATTGGCACCTTGTTGATTCTGAAGTAGCTCTATTGCCTCCTCTTAATGTCGCTTGCTTTGTTAAAATCCACTGCTAATCAATTGAAGGTGATGGGAATTCCACACTCATTATTTGAAGAGAAGTTAGAAAAGATGAAGGATTCAAAAGGCGTAAGGCTTGATACTGACCTAACAGCTGCTGACCTCAAAGAACTTGTCGAGCAGTACAAGAAAGTCTACCTTGAAGTGAAGGGTAAAGAGTTTCCATCAGGTACTAAGTTTACCAGTGATAAGTTCTAATACTTATTTTAGGAACAAGTTCTGAACTCATGCATTCTACCTGTATTGAATTCAGATCCAAAAAAACAACTGCAGTTAGCAGTGACGGCAGTTTTTGATTCTTGGGACAGTCCAAGAGCCATTAAGTACCGGAGCATCAATCAAATTACTGGCTTAAAAGGAACTGCTGTAAATATCCAAAGCATGGTTTTTGGGAATATGGGAAATACTTCAGGAACAGGTGTTCTGTTTACTAGAAATCCGAGCACTGGTGAAAAGAAGCTATATGGGGAGTTTCTAATCAATGCTCAGGTTTATATAATATTAATCCCATTCTAGCTAACCAAATGCTTTTAGCTTCTACATGTAATCTAGCTGTTACTGTGAAACATTTTGTGGTGATGTTTAAAATTTAGCTGATGGGTGGTTTTGTATAGGGAGAGGACGTGGTTGCTGGAATTAGAACACCTGAAGACTTAGTTACAATGAAAAATTGCATGCCTCAAGCTTACGATGAGCTTGTGGAGAACTGTGAAATTCTAGAGCGCCATTACAAAGATATGATGGTAAAAGTTTCAATTACTGTTTGAAGCCTTTGATAATTCATGTCATATGATTCTTAATTTATGTGATTTTACAGTGGTTCGCTTTGTTTAGAACATCAACTCGAATTTATTTTTCCTGTTTTGTATCTGAGTAGCATATTTCTATGGTGGCAATATCTCTTGCATTTATTGGAAGGTTTTAGAATAGAAAAGGAAAAAGAAAAAAGAAATAAGCTATGCAATCTGTGCTATATACAGGATATTGAGTTCACAGTTCAAGAAAACAGGCTTTGGATGTTGCAATGCCGATCTGGAAAGCGGACTGGAAAAGGTGCAGTAAAGATAGCTGTAGACATGGTTAGCGAAGGGCTTGTTGATATTCGCTCTGCAATTAAGATGGTGGGCCCACAGCATCTTGACCAACTTCTTCATCCACAAGTAAATATGCATACGTACAATGATCATCTTTTTCTGTTTTTTTTTTTTTTTTTTTTTTTCATTTTTTATTTTTACTCACTCACTATGGTTTAAACTTTGGCTAGTTTGAGAATCCATCTGCTTACAAAGACAAAGTGGTCACGATAGGCTTGCCTGCATCTCCAGGGGCAGCAGTGGGGCAGGTAGTGTTCAGCGCTGAAGATGCTGAAGAATGGCATGCGCAGGGAAAAAGTGTCATTCTGGTATGCTCAATCTTTTTGCAGTATTAATACGATTGTGTGCAACCAAATAATTTTTTTTATAAAGGCAACCATTTGTATTGCTTACTTTACAAATGTTATAAATGAGGCAACATGAAAATGAAATTTGAAGATGATCCTCCATTTGACAACATGTGACTGCTTAGCATACTTGCTATCAATGGTTCAGTATCTGCAACTGCAATTGACTCAACTTCTAAGTGCTCTTATAGTACAATTTTCCTTCTCGGTGAAACATCAATATTAATATAACCAGAGCACACTAGTTCAATTATAACTTCTGGTATGAATTTATGAGAACTGCTTGTCAGAATGCTTGATCTTCAGCTAGTTGCAAAGAATGATGAACTGCGAAAATGTTGGAAAAATATAATCCTTGCTATGCGATTGACTTCTTTATCCTATTTGAATGTTGGGATCTTTACCTGTTCATATGAATGAAGGTAAGAACAGAAACCAGCCCAGAGGATGTTGGTGGTATGCATGCAGCTGCTGGAATCTTGACAGCTAGAGGTGGAATGACATCTCATGCTGCTGTGGTAGCACGTGGTTGGGGAAAATGTTGTGTTTCTGGCTGCTCTGATATCCGTGTAAATGATGCCGAGAAGGTGATCTTTAGTTCTCTTCGACCGCACAATACTTACTTCACACGAAGCATGGATTTTACAAACATATTTGTTGATTTGATGATGCAGGTTGTTGTAATTGGCGATGTTGTGATTAGCGAAGGAGAATGGATCTCACTCAATGGATCTACTGGTGAAGTGGTATTGGGGAAGCAGCCGCTATCTCCTCCAGCTCTAAGTGGCGATCTAGAGACATTTATGTCTTGGGCTGATGAAATAAGGCGCATCAAGGTGCTATACTCCCCTCAACCGATAGAAGGTCCACATTGTATCATTGTTTGTTAATGAAAATGTCTATTTTCTGATTTTGCATTATGATGGTGTAATAGGTCATGGCAAATGCTGATACTCCTGAAGATGCACTAACAGCAAGAAATAATGGTGCCCAAGGGATTGGACTTTGTAGGACAGAGCACATGGTAATTCTTATGGTCATTACTCATTATCTTCAATAAATCCTTTCCTTGTATGTAAGCATTTTAACTGAGCCTGAGGAATCCCCAGTACTGTCCCGACGTTCTTCTGTTAATGCTATCCACATCATGCTGTTTTGATACAGTTAGGTTGCCGTCCCTTTTTTAAAAAAGTATTCTGTTTGGAACGTTTCAGTTCTTTGCTTCCGACGAGAGGATAAAGGCTGTGAGAAAGATGATAATGGCAGTTACAACAGATCAGAGGAAGGCAGCACTAGACCTATTACTACCTTATCAAAGATCAGACTTTGAGGGAATTTTTCGTGCAATGGATGGTACTTTCCACCTTTACAGTTTGGATTTTGGAATCATATCTAATTATATGCCTTTTCCAACCATTCAAATTGGAAACAATATCAAGGTTTTTTTTTTGTTTTTTTTTTTTTTCATCTGCATTTGAGGCTTTACTTTCCGCCTCCGAAGGACCTGAGCTCTAGCACAGGCTGAAGTAGGATTAGGTGGATGGATCTTAGGGAAAAAGGAATGGGCTTTTTTTATTTTTTATTTTTGATTCTTTTTTCAATTTCAGGCTTTCCAGTAACAATCCGTCTATTGGATCCTCCACTTCATGAATTTCTGCCAGAAGGTGACCTGGAACAAATTGTCAGTGAACTAACTACAGAGACTGGCAAGATGGAAGATGAAGTGTTCTCAAGAATCGAGAAATTATCAGAAGTAAATCCTATGCTTGGCTTCCGAGGCTGCAGGTTTGGTGGTTCTTCATATGTACTTCCCACTATTGTTTTCACAAACATGTTTCATTAACCAAAGTCAATAGTCAAGTGTGTAAACAATCTTAGATGTGTTATCCTATACTTTTCTTTTCGATTCATCGGGAAAAAACAAAAAAAGAACTTAATGAATTGGCAGGATTGTGCATGCATTTACACAACTCAACTTTTAACTGCAAGTAGAGAAACTAATAATTTTACTCAAGGAATGTTGATAAGTGGGACTTGCTAATATGTCAACAGGCTAGGGATATCATACCCAGAACTCACTGAAATGCAAGCACGTGCAGTCTTTCAGGCTGCAGTCTCAATGAGCAGCCAAGGTGTTACTGTTCTTCCTGAGATAATGGTTCCTCTTGTTGGAACACCGCAGGCATGAATCCCTTATACTTATCTGAACTTTATTTATTTAAAATCAAGCACTCAAATTTGCAGAGAACTAGGCATTTTTCATGGGCAGGAATTAGGACATCAAGCGACTCTAATAAGGAATGTAGCAAAGAAAGTGTTTTCTGAAATGGGTGTAACCTTGAGCTATAAGGTGGGGACCATGATTGAGATTCCTAGAGCTGCTTTGGTTGCAGATGAGGTATGTTAAGACAAATGTTCCATCATTATTATTACTTTCAACTTTGAAGTTGCAGTAGCAGCTACGTGGACAAATTAGGGAAAAAGATCTGCTGTGATTTCTAGCGCTTAGGACTGAAAACATCTGGGATGTATTTGTTGTCTTCGAAAAAGAAATGCAATTTTGTTGTCAGAGGTTCTTGTTAATTGTATATGCTGTCTGATTTCTGCTGTTTGATTATGTAGATTGCAAAACAAGCAGAGTTCTTCTCCTTCGGAACCAATGATCTCACACAGATGACATTTGGGTATAGTAGAGATGACGTTGGCAAGTTTCTCCCCATATACCTATCAAAAGGCATTTTGCAAAGCGATCCCTTTGAGGTTAGTTGCATGGTTTCGAGTTCATTGCCTTGAATGATATGGTCTAATAATGACGAAAATTCTTCATTGGATGATGAGCTCAGAATAATTAGAACTATTTGCTTGACAATAACCACCGAGATGTTTTGCTTATAGGTACTTGATCAGAAAGGCGTAGGCCAACTCATTAAGATTGCCACCGAAAGGGGCCGTGCAGCTCGGCCGAGCTTGAAGGTAAGTTCAACGGATGAAATCATGTTCATGCCTATATTTGAAGTAGATATAGGATTTTTTATGGTTAATTTTATACCATTTGAATTTATATTGAAAGAGGCAGTATGTTATAGAATAACAGGTAGCTCTTGCACCAGATGAGATTTATTTGTACATTTTCTATATTTTTGGTGTTGATTTGTTTTTCCTTGACATAATTGATGAACAGGTTGGAATATGTGGAGAACATGGTGGGGAGCCTTCTTCTGTGGCATTCTTCGCAGAGGCAGGACTAGACTATGTTTCATGTTCTCCATTCAGGTTAAAAGTCTAAATTTTCGAAAATAGTCTATGCTTCAATCAAAATAAACCAAATTCTTGACTCCATTTCATTTGACAGGGTTCCCATTGCAAGGCTAGCAGCTGCACAGGTTGCAGTCTGAAACAGACCTCAAGAGAAGCAGCTTTCCAAGAGCACATTTCGCCAACGTACCCACTTGTAAATAAGTTAATTTACAAATACATAAAACAACCACATCATTGTTGTGTAAGAAGGGCTCAGATAGTAAGTATCATTGAAGTGTAAATAAGGGTCAACTCCTGTATCCTGATGTTGGGAAAACTGGATCAGGACTTGTGAATTAAAGAAATAAGCTCTACCGCTTACATCTGCAACTTGTACTCACAAAGTTACTTTTAAAGTCCAAGAGATTCACGTAATGTAAAAAGACTTGTCATTTTGTATATGTTTTAAAAGCCATTGTCATCTTATTGCCTGGTAAATGAACTAAGAAAATTCGAAAAATAAAAGGTAAATACATCATTGTAACGGGGTTCTAGTTTTGACAATTCTAATTTGTTTAGTTACTTGTTAATTATTATGAATTGGGAGAAGACTACGTCTCATTCTCATTATGTGTCAAAGATGACAATGAACGGATATCCTATTCATTAATTTAATTTTTATCATATCCATAAAAAGAATATTATACTCATTATCCATTAAAAAATCATTATATAAATCTTAGTCCATACTCATACTATATTAGTTTATTCGTTCATTTAGTATCTATTTAATACGCATTAAAATTCATTTGTCAAAAATATTCATTTTGGTCTCTATAATTTTCAAGAAAATTTTTTTCCTTAATTTTTTTTTAATTTTGATTATTTACTTATAAGTTTTTTTGGTCCTCAAAGTTTTTGAAAAACATATTTCGAGTCTTTAATTTTTAAATTTTATGCAATTAGATCCCTACATACTAATAAAAAATTAAAATAAATTAATGGATATTAATAGGGTAAAGAGCAAGAATTCATACCCCGAAACCATATTAGCAGATATATTTTTTTATCCTTACCTACATCAATACCCATTGGACATTTTTAATAGGTATTTAGTGGATCGGGTAAAACGGATAATCGTTTTATATCCGGTCCATTGTCATCCATATTCTGTAGTTTAAGGTCCAATAAACTTTATTATGAACTAAAAAAACATAAATAAAAGATAAATAATTTTATTGACCCGACATCAACAATATACGCATCGATACATAAAAATAAAAAAAATTAAAATTTGCAACTTGTAAAATGTAGTCAGTTTCAATTTAATAGAGTTATTCAATAAATTACTCAAAAATACTATAATGAAAGAAATATTGGAATTTGTCGTTAAGTATTTGACTAAATAGGATCGTCTAGTTTTTATTTTCTATAAAGTTATTAGTAAAATAATCCACTCCTAAAAGAAAATAAGATAAAAAATAATGAAAAATGCTTTTTTATAAGATTAAAAATGAATTTTTTTTGCCTTGTTTGTGAATAAGTGATTGTCTAATAATAAGTGGGGAATATCTATTTTTTTGCTAAACAAATTATATTTAATCCATAATTTATTTAATATTTTTTAAAAATATCAAAATAAATTGCTATCAACTCTCCAATCATTTGATAATTAAAATCATTCTTTGATAAATGATATACATGTCAAACTCAATTTAAACAATTGAGGCGCAAATTTTGAGTAAATTAGGCACAATCTTATTTTACCGTAGGAATTTGATTAGTTAAGTTCTTCTACTACTAAGTACTAATATGACTCTTTACTATCTTCATATTTAAAATGATTTAATTGCATTAGACATCTCTCCACTCTTGATATTCTTTTTATATAATGTGGCTCTTGTACTTTTTTTTTTTAATTCAGCATCTCCCTATACATTTTATTTTTTCTTAATATAGTCCCTCTCATTGAAATCGATCAATCTTTAGATTGGTGATAACAAATGGCAATAGAATTGCCATGTGGCATGACAAATCAAAAATAATTATCCACATGGATAAAAAAAATGCATGCTAATATCCGAAAACCGAGTTACATAAAAGGAAAAAAAAACCTCGGTATAAAACTAAAAGTTCATTTTCTCTCTAATTTCGCAATCGAGAGAGAGATTAAACCAAAAGAAGGAACACGTTTTCTCTTCCATTTTTCTCTTCATCTTATTTGAATCTCTCTCGTTTATGAGAATCTTTTTCGAAAAAAAAACAACATCCTTCTTTTTATCATCTCTTCTATAAAAAAAAACTCACAATTCATGAGAACCCAAAAATCCCCAAATTGATTTATTTATTTCGTGAAAACCCTACAACTCCTAAATTAATTTCGTCATTTCATTAAAAACCTTAAATTAGATGAGTACATCATCTTCATCGACAATTTGTATAAAAAATCATGATGGAATTAATTCGTAATCCTTTACTCTCCCCAACAAAATTGAGGATGATAAATTACGATTGATTTGTGTAGCTTCACCATAACCCCCGAATAAATTACGCAAAACCCGCAATGATATGTCATTGTGGATTGAAGACTATAAGGTAGATGCCATGGAGTGACAAGCATCCAAGTTTGAGGTTCCATCCATGTCCTATATGTTTTGCCCATAATGGTAATAAAATTTTTGACTATGGTTATTGGGTGTGGAAGGATTATTTCATAAAAGGCAAAGCTAGAATGATCGTTTTGGGAATGCAAAATAAAAAAAAGATAGATTTATAGAGAAAAAATTGTTGTTAAAAGAAAACAATGAATTGATTGCAAAGGTTGGAAGGTTGAAAAATGAGTTAGAGTTTGTTTTTGTAGAAAAGGAAGAGTTGCTGATTGAGATAGCAACATAAAAGGTAAAGGAAGAACATATGATTTTGAGAATGAAAAAATTAAGTAAATACAATGTTAAGTTATTAAATTTCTATAAAATAATAGTGGTTTTAATTTTAATTATGTTGGTTGTTTGTAAACTATACTCGAAGTAGTTTGTTTGTAAATGGTATTGAAGTTTATGAAATCACATTAGTTTGCAATGGTTAATTGACTATGTTGAGTTTTTTCATTTGATCACTTAAAGCATGCTATTAAGATTTATCTAATTATGCAGGCATGATGTTAAATATTATGTCGTAATGCTATGGGAAAGAAGTTGCCACCATGAGCATCCAATATGCTTAAGGGAAAAAGAAACTAAAGCATGAAATTACCTTAATGTTTTAGCCTTGAACCTAAAAATTAAAGCCTAAATGTTCTAGCAATTTGTATATAGAAAGACAAAGTGTTATAAAGAAAAAGGAAAACCATGTTATACCTTGTGTTATGAACTCTTAGGATTGATAGCGAAACATCTCAAAGTTGGATTCATGATTTCTTATGATTTCTCATCATTGATACAAAAATATGAGACAAACAAAGGAATAGAGAACTTTTGGTTATTTTTTTTATTATATAATTAACTATTTTAACATAGCATATCCAATAATAGACGACAAAATACACTCGAATTAGGCAACAACGTTCCAACCATATCACATAGTTTATTAGGTAGTAATTACATGGTTTAACTTCAATTCCAAAAAAAAAAAAAAATACATCAATTCATCAACCAAGCATACTTCACTTTCAAAGTACAAAACATCAATTTAGTCAACCCACTCCTTAAAAAGTTTTTACCGAAAGTTCACAAACATGTCAAGCACATCGATCACGAAGATGAAAAAATCTACTTTCTTGATTTCTAATTTCACTTTCTTTTTTTTTTTTTTAAGTTACGGGTGTTTTTGGATTTTATTTTATTGGATCGTAATTAATTTACTAATTAAGTGTATAGGCTACTCATAAAATAGCTTATTGAAACTTAATATATAAAAAGTTAAACTTATTTTTTTTGAATTAAATAAGTAATAACAATAACATTTACATCTAGAATCATGCATCCCGACTCAGTAACAAAATAATATTTTCAAACATGAGGTTTCTTGGCCTTTTTAGCAATTGATTTGGAATTGATAGTTCTATTATTGCAAACATTTTCGTCAACAAGAGATCTTTTTCCTCTTCTTGTAGCAAATCTGGTAATTAGAGATTTGATTCTTGGCTTAACTTCGGGAACTTCATCAACAATAACAAAACTTTTTCCTTTCATGTCGACGGAAGATGGACTTAATATATTCTCAATAATCTCTCTTGATCGGACATAAGTATCTCCAATTATTTGTGTATTCTATATAACACAACATTAATACATGATTGCAATCTCGGTAGAACATATCAAAAGTAATTTAAATATCATAAGCATAAACAAATTATCAATTTTTTCACTCTTCATCCACGCATCCCAACTTCCTCGTTCAAGTTTTATATTTGCATTTGAAATACTTTAAAACAAAACATACAATATATTATTATTATCAAGTTAGATGATTATGCAAAGTTAAACAAAAAATAAAAAGGTATATAGTCATAAATATTCATACCTTTCGTTGAGGATTTTTAGGATAGGTCGTATCGTTATGACCTTGTTTAAAACACCTCCGGTATGCCACTTTCCTCTCTTTTCTATACATATTAGTACTACCACTCTTTTCTTCCCATTCTTCTTTTCTCCTACTCTTTTTCTAACTTTCGGGCATCTTAATAACTGCTTGGAGGATAAACAATTGGTAAACTTGTTTTTGGCCAACATTTCTCTCCATTGACAAGTTCAATGAAATACTAATAAAGCTTTATAAACCTATCTTTTGAATAACACTCATGAACATAGTCTTTAACTCTTTATATTTTCAATTTACTTATAAAAAATGCATGCTCACAAGGGATACCCGATATATCCAACCTCCTATAAGTGCACCTCTTTGTGCTTCATGTTAAAAATAAACTTGTCATCCCTATATATCCAAGTTACCTCCCAACCTTTACTTTCATTCTAAAAAACCTTAAAATCATCATGCAGTTTCTTATTTTTCTCAATCACTATCTAAATTTTAGGTCCAAATGGACCCTTAAATTTCTTCTTAACAAATACTCTTCTTGAAATCATCCTACCAATAACATACATCCTAATATCCTCTAACGTATTCATAATGCTTTTAAACCTAGCTTTAGTGATAATTC